TGGTAGAGAATCATAGAATTGTTTCAGTTTGAAAAAACGTTCAAGATCTTTTAAATATTTCCAGTGATAGTGATTCCACCTCCTCCCTGGACAGTCTCTTCCACTGTTTGACAGTCTTTTTGGTGAAGAAATTTTTCCTAAAACCCAATCTAAAGCTCCTCCAGCATGACTGGAGGCCATTTCCTTTAGGCCTATCATTTGTTACCTGGGAGAAGAGACCAACCCCACCTGGCTACACCCTCCTGTCAGGGAGCTGTAGAGAACAGTATCTCCCCTAACCTCCTTTTCTCCAGGCTAAACACCTCCATTTCCCTCAGCTGCTCCTCATCAGCCTTGTGCTCCAGACCCTTCCTGTAGGATCACTGAATTCCGTGTCAACTCCAAATCACAAGATCAGTTGAGAAAACTGTCACTGGAAAAAAAATATTCCTAGTACTTGATATGGGATCAATGTACTTTTTTGCTATGAATTCACATTTTTATGTATTAAATTTCCCCTCCCCTTCTGAGTCTTCTACCACATTTCTTATCAGATGACCAGAGTTCACCTACAAGGGATGAACTTTGTCTCAGTCAAGCTTTTCTGCATCAGCAGCTTTATCAGCTCCTGTTGACTCAGTGTAACCTTTAGTATTCAGCAGCAATACTAAGAAATGCATTAAATCCATCCTATCAGATTAGAGATTTCCTAAATATTAAGATTGGAGTAGAATTGAGAAATCCCTTTAAGTAACATGCAGCTTTTTTCCAGCTTTTTTAGTTTTTTGTTTTGTTTTGTTTTAAAGCTCGCTAACACCAGAGCAGGGGCTGCTACCTTCATATGCATTTATTAACAGCATAAAGTACCAATTCAAAATATCATGCACAAACCACCAGCATTCTAAAAGAGTACAACAGAATGCATTCTTCCCATTTTGAACAACATAACTACTGCTCATGCTTTTTTATCTCCATTTTAGCTCCTGCAGTTGAACACTGTTCTGTGCTGTAAAAACAGTTCTGAACATGATGTGATTAACCTTAGGGTCCCCCCATCCCCTCATCTCAAAGCCCCCTCGAACATGGCCTGTGCTTTCTATTCATGTTCAACCATCTGATTTCCATATCATCTATTAGCATAACAGAGCTCCAGTGTGACATTGATTGAAGCCAGCGCTTGCTGAATGCAGTATCAAAGCATAATTTGCCAAAAATCAAATCTAATTTACTGTGTACTATTTAAATTTCTCAAAAAAAAAAATAAAAGGAAAGGAATTTTCAATAGAAGTATATTGGGTCTGTAGTCCTAATTGTTCTTTTTCTTCCCATGTTTTTGCTAGTCTGCTGGAATCCAAGCAATATGTTTCATTTTAGAGCCACTGTCTTTGACTTTCAGATGTCAGTTAAGCAGGAGGTTTTCCACTCTGCTTCTTCCAATCCAGTTTATGTTACATCTGAAATAGTAAAAAGTAATAGTCTGATAGGCACAACACTCAGTTTGCTGCTTCATAAGTTTTTTCAACAGATCATCCTAATGATCTTAATGTTTAGCTTGAACTAAGCATTAAAGTACCCCAGAACTTTAACAGCTGAAGCATATCAAGCCTGCTGTTACTTCTCTAACTGTACATTTTCAGAATGTTTTAGAAATTCACCTACTTTGAAAGCAGCAATAATGGCTTGAATAAATTTTGCCCAGTGTTCCACTGAAGCCGCAGTTGGAGCAAGTCATGATCTCACTTAACCCTTCTGCAGAATGGAAGTAATAATATTTGTCTGTATCTATAAACAGCACCCATATGTGAACATAATGAGCCCTTTTCTTAGGAAAATGGAAGAACACAAGTGCTTATTCTGTCAAAGAAGCCTGGCTGTCTCTGAGCAGGGTCATGCTGCATTCTCTGGGGATAATGACAGTCACAGTGTTTGGGTAGTTACATCTGACCAAGAATTACTGCTGCAATTATTAGCTGTTACTTTCAGTTTTCAAGTTCAAGTAGAAATTGACAGATAAAACTGATATGGTGAAAACAGTCTTTAAATGCTGTAAATAATGGCATTTTTATCAGAGGCTGTCTGTAAACAGAGCTATAGCTGAATATGACAACAGACTATGACAGAATGAAGATTTCCTTCCTTATATAACTCCATCTTTGAATAATTTTTTTAAAAAATGCATGCAAAATTTTAGTTTTGCAAAACAATTTCATTTTGAAAAATAATGTTTTTCATGTCTTTTAAAATATGGTCCTAAATAATTTGGCTGAAGGAGCTGGTTTTTTGCTCTATTTAATGTGAGTAAAAGCTCTGATTAATTTATTTTATAGTGAATTTCTGGTAATTAAGGTTGCAGAGCAGAGCTAGAAAAGATACTGTTGCATAACTATGTGATTGTTTGCTGGAGTCTTTAGAAAACTTTACATAGTATCTGTGAGGCCAAATATTTTCTCCTGTAGCGTGGTCAAATGGTGGAGAGGACTTGGTGTGGCAGGGAGAGAATAGAGCAGCAGAGTCAGTCCATGTCAGAGCTACAGTTTTATTTTCCTTGTCTGATTGGGGGAAAAAAAAAAGAAAAAAAAGAACTTTTTTCTGCTCTTTGGAAAGTGAGAGATGTTGTAAACTAGAAAACTAGGGACAGGCCGAAACCTGAAAACTAGATAGAAACCAGGCTGTGTTTTTTTCTCTTATCGTTCTTCCTTGACTACCAAATTACCTTAATTTGATCCTTGGAACGTCTGCTACAGTGACAAATTCAGTTGAGTGGTATCTGTTTAGAGCTCTGAATTATGGATTTATAGTAGAGATCTATGTGTGTGAGAGTGTTTCAGATGAACCTTTAAACTTGCCTCCCTTGCATTTACTCGGTTACATGATTTGAAGGACAAGCTCATGGAAATGCCATGCCCTTCCTGCTCCTGTTGAGCTGTCAGAGAGCACTGTCTGTGCATCCCCCAGGGCACCAAGAAGCCTAAGAAGTGAATTTAGCCATCCATCCTGCTTAGGATAGATCCATGGGATGGGCTCCTGACTCCAGCTTTTTACGCACAGTGGGAAGATTTTGGTCTTGGGGCCATTCAGACACTGCACTGATTAGCACACTGCCATTTCCTGGCACCTGGGGGAATTGCATGGGGATATGCTGGGTGAAACAAGGTGGGGGAAACCCACCTTGAGGAGTGGTGTAGCATGAGTTCAGTTCCTGGAGTATGTTTAGCAACACCTCATAGAAACCTCAAATCACATGGCTGTAAGCAGGCAGCAAGAGGGCACCTCACCCTTAGTCCTGCCTGTTTATGAGATTAACACCTCCTAAGATGGAAGAAGAGGTGGACATTTCTCTCCAGGGAGGCCCAAACCTCTCTTTAGGAGTGTGAGGCACAAGAAAATACCCTCTGCCTTCTGAACTGATTGTGATTCGTGTTTATTAAGTGCTTTACAGTTCTTGTTTTAAGAGTGCCAGCACTACTCAACTGATGCTCTTTAGACCCCTGCTGATCTGTAAAGCCTTGGGAAGTACCTCATGAGATAACTGCCAAGTGTGTTTCAAGAGAATCGGGTCTGCTCACATTTCTATGCAGGTAGCAGGTTTGTGTCTGTGCTGCCAGCAGGTGTAATCGGAAGCTGGGTCTTGATTGCTCTTCGTGCCTAATTAAATAGTTTGTAATTATAATGCTGAAAATACGGTTTTCTAAAACACTTAAATTCTGTTTACCTGAAAGCTTAGTGTTCCTAAACCATCCCTCTGCACACCCACAAAACCAGCCGTGGAATAGAAGAAAACAAGGGTGGGTGGAGGGGTTTGAGTTTCTTTTGTTCTTTTTTTCCCTGCTTCAGCCTGCCCCAGAAATTAGCTAGTCTTTTGATAAGAATATTTGGAGATGCTGCTTACATTTTTAAAATATGCAAAAGAGTACAAATCCCAGTGAATTCCAGGGATGAATCAAGAGTGGAGAGTTTTCATGTCCCACGTAGAAAAATCATTTGCTTTACTTCTGCAACATGCTCAACACAGTTACTTATTTCAAGTTTTTTATCTCAAATCCTCCAGCACTTCTTCCCCACTCTCTTTCTACTCATTAGCACCTTTTCTCTACCTTCACATTCCCAAGCATTGACTCTATTCTCCACTATTACCCTCCAGACAGTCAGACTATGCCCCTCTCTTAGAAATTGTTCACTTCTGGCTGTGCCTCCTGGTCCCCTATGACTGAATACTGTTAATGCCAGTGACTTGAAAACATAACCAGCCCTGCTTCTTCTTTCTTGTTTTAACTTCAGTCTCCTTTTTTCTTTTCCTTGTGTCTTCCTTACCTCCTGAAATACCTATTCCTTCTTACTCACCACTCACCTCTCCCCATCAACTCTTCGACTTTTGCTTCTCTCTACTTTTTAAACTAGCTGAAACCTGGATTTGCCAAGTTCATGTTCTTTTAGCAACGATTCTTTTTATAGCAAGTCATCCTCCCCACACCATTCTTGACCACACTGCTTCTAAGGGGAGTAAGGGAGCTCTTGAACCTGGGTTCTTTTGCTGTCATCCAGACCTTCCTCTCCTTTCTCAATCATTTTTAAAAGTCCAGAGGGGCAGATTAAGACAGGCAGTCTGTTTATCCTAATTCATACCTTGCAATACACGATAGCTCCAGCAAGCTCTGTGAAGAGTAAGAGGATCTGAGGGTGCTGATATTTTCCCAGAGCAAAGGTAGAATAAACCCAGGCTTAGCCTGACTCCTGCTCTTTAGCATTTAATGTTGTCAGAATTGACTCTAGCATGTATGGTTGTAATGTTTCTTTCCTTTTTAAATTTTTTTAATACCTGGGGATGTCACATACATATATTGCTGCTCTCTGTCGCTGTTGTTGTTTCTGTTTATATATTAATTCTGTCTATACTAATGAATGTTTCTGGTGTCATGTCCTCTGACATAAATCTCCATAATGTTGTCTTTTTCCTTCAATATTCCCTTTCTCTCCCTTGCAAAATAAGCTGAACTTACACCATGGTTTTTCTTACCTTGTAGCTCCCCCACAGTTCGTGGTGAGACCACGAGACCAGATTGTAGCCCAGGGTCGAACTGTGACTTTTCCTTGTGAAACTAAAGGAAATCCCCAGCCAGCTGTTTTCTGGCAAAAAGAAGGAAGTCAGGTAAGTTGCAAGCACCTTTAAGTCTTTCAAGACTTTCTAAATGTTTATATTGCTAAATCAAATACGGAAAATTATTTACATTGTCTTTCACAGTTCTTTTCATCTTTCACAGAAATTTGTCCTTTTAAACTATCACTATTCTCTACTGAAATTTGTGTCACTTTTTTTTTTAATATTTTGAAGAACACAAAGGCCATTTAAGGTGTTGAAACCTGTGCTAGGCACCGTATTGATGAATAGAAAGAAACAAATTTATTTTGTTCTGAAGCCCCCAACAAACAGGTGGGTGAGACAGGCACAGCAGTTAAAAAAAAGGTATGACTCAATTTTGAACTAATCAGAGCCAGTAATTACAGTTCACAACCTGTCTAGACATGATCAAGCAAAATGTATCCAGCAAGCTGATTTGCATTGGCATTTTCTCATAGAGCATACAGATAAAGGTTTTGAACACACAGATGCTTTCTTCAGTAAAATTGTCTCAAGAAATTTCCAGATCTGTCTTGGAAGTATTTACCTGATCCTCTTTAAAGGCAAAAATTGTGAGGCAGCAATTGGCACTGCCATCAGCCCATACTAACTTTATAACTTAGTATCTGAATGTGATGCCACATTTCTTTACTGGAGGTATTGTGTGTACCAGCTCAGGTAAAACATGAAATAAGAGCTGAACCACAGATCTCCTGCTTCACCTTCTCAGGAGATCAGAAAACTGGTCCAGAATGCCAGGACCAGGCTGACAGCGTTTTGTGCTCTGCTGTCTTGGTGGCTTACAAAGACACAAAAGGATTACTTTATGGGTGTGATTATTTTATTGTCTGAGTGCAAGCTTAACCTTCAGTGGGTATCTCTCAGTGTAATATTTAGAGAAATTTAGATCCAGCCTCCAAGGATCACATCCTGGAAAGCACAGTATTGTGAGTCTCACTAAGGTGACAATTTTTCCAAGGGGAAGGTAGAATAGCATATTGAAATTATAGTAGGAAGTACTGATGTGCTAGCAAACATTTCAAACCCCTTCCTTGTAGAGCATTTTAATAACATGGTAATGTTTATGTAAAGTGAGCTTATAGTGTCACACTTGAATCTCATAAAGTGGACATCCATCATGCTGTAATAAAGAGAAGAGCTTCTAATTAAAGTAGGACATCATTTTCAGAATTAAAGTCATTTAGCGTAATTGAAAAGTGTTAATACTCTGTTTTATCCTCTTCCATTGGTATCACTTCAAGGGTAAAAACATTTTAAGGTGAAAATGCATCTTGTGTCTTTAATTGAATGTTATTACCTACTGATTGTACAATGTTGAAGCTGCTTAATTACAAACCTGGAAAATTAATTACCATATTGAGAACCGGATCCCTAAGGGTTAGAATAGACTTTTTTGGCAAATAAATGCAACATAAAAATTGATACTTTCATGGTTTATAATCAAACCTTGAAACATGGCTCGATGTAGTTTACAACATTCTCATGTTGATCTTAATTGATCATCAGTGAAGTAACACAGACTGGGGTTGCCATCTCGGTGTGTAACTTTCCAGATTTTGCAGTGAGATGTCACAGAGTGAGAGAGTTTCCACATAGTGTACATCATCATAGCGATGGAGAGTGGAATTTTTGCCAAATCACAGGCTTTTTCACCTTTGCCTCCCAGCTATAAATTGTTGCTTGTCTCTTCAGTGCCGTTTCTGCCTTTAGGGGGACTGTTTGCAGCATCACTTCCAGTGTTCAAAGTAATGCTATATAGTCACGTTATCCCACTCCAGTAGTTGTAGGGCATTTCTGGTTGTGAATCCATTTCTCAATGCTGCATTTTTGAGCACAACCAGCTGGAAGGGAGGGGAGCTGTTCCCTCCTGAGTAATTTTTTGTGCCAGCCTGTGTACAAACAGCTGGTCCTTTGTGCTTGGTAGCCTTTTCCCCAGAGCCCAACAGCCGCTTGCCAATGACATGTGCGAGGGCAGGGCGTGTGTAACCTTTAAACTCCCTGGATTAAATTCTTCCTTGAGATAAATTCAGTGGCACTATATCAGAGATGGCTCTGGTCCCTCTGTTTGCAGCTCAGCATGCCACCACTGTGCCCAGATGAGCAGCCCAACAGCTAATTAAAACCAGTGAAAATGTGGAAAGCGTTTAAAAAGGGGTTGTACTGTAATTTAGGACAAGTTATAGTTCATAGTTTTCTGGTCTTTGAAGGGACGAGTCCTGAGACTGGTGAACTCCTCCTGATGTGTGGAATATTCACTGGGACATGGTACCTTTCCAGAACAGAGAAGCCCATAGTGAAGACAAAAACAAGGATTGATTCCCCTTTCTAATGAAATTATAAAGAGGGTTCTTGACTATTTTTTCCTCTTAAGAATTAGCAGCTTAATCCTTGCACTGTCTTTTACATTCAGCTTGTTTTTACACTTTACATAGAGTGATAGATGAAGTCAAGGTCAGCTACGTCAAGTTTCTCCTCTTTGTCATAATATTTACATAATGCCCTCATGCAGTAGGTATCTTATGCCAGGTAAAAATTATTCAAGGCAGTTCAGAAAACAGGGCAATTATTTGAGACCCACTTAGTCCTATAACCTCAAATTGTTTCAGAATTTTAACACTTTTTTTTCCTATTATCTGGCATGTTTACTGGGTGAATATTGATTTTTGAGGAAAAATTTGCTGTTATAAATTTCTTAAAGATTGCTATTGAAAGGCAGTAAAAGAATACCCTAGTCTGATGAGTAACCCAGTAGGTTAATACAATTATAAGGATACTTGGAATGTTGGATCTTATTTAAAGCATATCTCTTTCCTTTTGCTGCCAAAACCATAGAGATAAAGGTGTGAGTTTCACTTGAAAATAGAATTTGTTTCTTATTTGAATTTTTACTGGTTTCTTAAGCAGTTTGTTGCTTATCAGTTGCAAATAGTTTTTGTAAACCATCAAAGCCTGTTTCAGAAGAAACAGATCTGAAGAAATTTCATTTAATACCCTACTCCACATTTTTAGGTTTTTTTTTTTTTTTTTTTTTTAGTCAATACAGACAAACTTAATAGTTAATAGGGAGTCATCATTAGAAAGCACAGCAGAGCTAGACAGGGCTGCAGTAATGACTGAAAGCTTATCACAGCATGATAACAGTGTTTTGGGGTATGCCTGATGCAAACTGTACTTCTAATAGAATCTTTTAGAGTTGACATAAAATCCAGACCCTATTTTACTGGAATTACTGTTGCTTAATTATTGTTTAAGCTGTTCTCCTTTCTGTCTCATTGGGCAATGCTGCTACCCTTCCTCTCTCTTCACATTACCTTCCTTTTCCTGTTCTTATTTATTCACAAGGGCTGTGCCAGAGGGTATAACTTTTTCCTTGAAAACACAGCTCTCACCACTAAAACCTTTTTGGGTCTGTAGTATTGATTCACTCAGTCCTTCATCATATGCAATGACTACTAGAGCCATTCCAGTTATTATTATTGACGTCTCTCTTTTCTCCAATCCAGCCCAAAGGCAAAAACTAATCTCCCTGTTTTGTGCTAACTGATATCTTATCCTACATGAAATTATTTTTTTCTCTCTGATGATTTCCACATCAGATTAATACCCTTTCTATTCACCCTCCAGGCCCTATGCTGCATTTCTCCTTTGGTTTATCACAGTTTTAATTTCCTTTTACTTCTCCTTTAAACTCTCATGCTCTGTCAGCTTCTCCTACTTCATGACATGCTTCTATCTTCCTTCCAGCTTTACTTGTGTGCCATGCTCTCACTTTCTCCTTTTCTCAGAACATTTTCATAGCCAAACAATAGTGCTCTGCTCCCTCAGGTCTCTAGGATTCAATGCTTGCTGCTAGTTTTCTAATGTTTGCTGTAGTGTGATGTCCTTCTGGTTTGATAGCTGAGTATATTATTACAATTGCATTCAGACTGAAGATGAATGTGTCACAAATATAAATCACTCCAGTGTGATTGTTGGGAAATGTCTCCTTGCCTACACCCCAGTCAGAGCACAGCACTGTGAGCTGTCAAAAGGCTGTTTCTAATTTAAACTGTGAGTTGCCCAAGGCAGGGAAAGCAGCTCTATGTGTTCATAAAGTCAGAACCACACTTACTTTTTTGTCCTCGATTATTTATAGTACTTTTAAGGAAAAATCATTGTCTGTGTAGCTGAAGGAAAAGCGGTGCTTTTGTGTTTTGAATTGATGTGAGATGAATTGTCTTTGCAGAACCTACTCTTCCCAAACCAGCCTCTGCAGCCCAACAGCAGATATTCAGTGTCACCAACTGGGGACCTCACCATTACCAACATCCAGAGGTCTGATGGAGGCTACTACATCTGTCAAGCTCTGACGGTTGCTGGAAGCATTTTAGCAAAGGCTCAGCTGGAGGTTACTGATGGTGAGCTCTTAGAAATTCCTATTGTTTTCTTTCCTGTCAAAAATACATTAAAAGCAGTATAAATAAAGACATGTGAGATGACATAAATCATACAAGTAAATGGACAATTTTCTATAGGAAATAAAGGGAGAAAAGGTTCTCTGTTTTTGTCTATGGAGTAAAAAAAGGCATCAAAGTCTAGTTTTCCTCTTACTTGCTTTCTGGAGGTTTGTTAACAATGGAAAATGGGACAAACCAGCTTAGACTAGGTTTGGTGAGAAAGGAAGCTGCTTGGTTTGCTAGAGCCAAGATAGGACTGAAAAAAAAATAACCCCCCCAAAAATGGAGAATGAATAGCTTTGTAATTAAAGCAGTGAACTGAAGTGGAAAGAAATATTATCTCCATTTCCACCAGTCTTGAGTCCTATCTCAGACATGTAGAGGATGTGTCCTTAGCTCGGTTAAACCAACGCAGTTGCTCTGGAGGTGGTGGAGTACCACAGGTTTAGGCTGCCTACAGCATGTAGCCCTTTAGTCCCTCCATGAATCAAGCACCTGGCTCAGAGCTGTGTTCCAAGAATGCCTCAGGAGGGGTAGGTGTGAAAAAAGTCATGAAAATCCATAGGTAGAGAAGAGTTTTCAGGAAAGGAAAAGAATAACATGGTCTGTCTTGATGCCTTTCATTTCAAATTTTTGGGTTTGATATTCATCCTGCCTTGAGGTTTCTCATCTACAAGCATGAATCCTTTTCACATGTCAGGAATCCTGTTGATATCCCTCTTCATCTTATTGTGGATAGAAGGCAGTTTGCATCCTTTCATGTTAGCGAGGAAAACAAGAGAATCCCTCTTATACTCAGAGACAGTGGCATTCCCCAGCATCATTATTCCTTATCTTAACTGACACATTAAATATCTCCTGACAGACTTTGATGAATTTTTGCCATTAAAACTGTTGTTATATGCAGAGGTCTACTTTTACTTTTCCCTTAGAGACCTGCCTGCACCATGAAAGTTTGAAAAGATGTCTAATTTTGAATAATCTGCCTTTTCACCAGAGCATATTCATCACAAGTGACAGGTAGAGAGGTTCAGGCTCGTATTATAGAGGTTTGAGCATTAATTTGATGCCTTTCCTTTGTTTTCCAAAAGCTGCCTATATTTTTATGACAAGGGGAAATAATTTCTGCCTTATCCTTGCATCTCTTCAAGCACATTGCTTTTCTGTAATTTCTGGGTACTAAAGACTTGGCTTTGCTCTGCAGTCTCTTTAAGTCCTTCCTCTCATGGTCTATGACAAAATGATGCATTTTCATTCAATTTGAATTTAAATGTAGATTAAAAGGTCATTTAAAAGGAATAGAAAGGCAATATTTTTTAATATCTGTCTATAGTGCTGCCTGATTCAGGGCCATGACTGTGATTGGAATAAATAGAACGCACAAACATTGGCTGGGAGGACATGGAGCTGTTAAATGGTCACACCTGCTGATGCTGCACAGATTTACAGCAACAGGCGCTGAGCGGATCAAATCAGGTTCAAGGATGCTAGTGATGAGAAATTCTTCCTTTTGACAGCCAAGGGCTTTGATCCACCTTTATCTATTTCTTGTGTGGGGAAAAAAATAAATCCTAATTGATCTCTTTGGAATTTTCATTAGTTTGTTTGGAAAGCCAAGGGAAGGTGTCCCTGCTGAAAGTCAAGCTCATCTCTGGGTAATTCTGATTAAAGACAGCGTGCATTCCACATTGCTCGAGAGAGCATTAGCTGGTGGCTCTGCTGCTCAAGGAGTCAGGGCCTGCCTTCCTCAAATGCTTTCCAGAGCCCACTGTCAGCATGATCATTATGAAATAATACAAGATTGCTTTATAGAAATACCATTTCATCCTGGAGTCAAAGGGCGGGTGAGGTCAGAAGAGAAGTGCCAAAACAACATTATAGAGCTGAGATTATGTGAATAAATGTACCATTAGATCACAGATATTTTTTTTAATTGCTGTTAGTTAGGAAGTTAACCATAAATGTCTAAATAATCTGTTTTGGTTGATGCTGAGCAGAAGTTATGGGAGCTAATGACTTTTATCAGCAGGGAAATCTAATTTAATAGTTTTATGAATATAATAAAAGATAAACACTGTCCGTGCCAGCTATATGCTTAAGCATTAGTGTTCTAGTTTTTGGCTGGTGATTTCAGTTTTACTTCCTAGCCCAGAATTTTTCTGTTTGGTTAATGATTTAATAATAGTGGCGAGCCATCTTTTTCATTTTGAACACATTTTTGTTTGATCCAGAGTAATTTAGATCCAATTGAAGTTCCAATACAGAATGAAAACATGTCATGTGCAGAAAAACAAGTGCTTAATTATACCATATATAGCAGTGTTTCAGTTGTTACATTTTTGCACTTATAAGTCTTTACTGGAAATATTTTTAACTCAAGTGTTCACATGAGAAGAGATTACTAGCTGTGATGAAATGTGCTGAGTTGAGTGATAATTTTGCTGATTATGGACTGTGCTAAGAGCCTTCAGCATATTTGAAATTCAAATCTTGTGTTTTCTTGAAAGGCTATCATGTAATTCACTGTCTAATGCACATCTGGAAAAGCAAAATCAATTTAAAAATTGAAGAATCTTTGCAATCCTTTCAAACGCAAGAAATGAATATGCAGTTCGCAATCTTACAATGACAGATCATGCAAATAAACCAAGTGCTTCCATCTCTGTCTATGCTCAACATAAAAGGAATAGTTTCCAATTAGTATTTGTCAATCATGCACAGAATATTTTGGAGAAAATCTTAATTTCTCCTCAATAATTATTAAAATTTATTAATAAATGTTTCACAGTTTCCTTGTCTGCAAATCTGACCACCGTGATTCTTAACCCTCATCCAAAGTATATTGCATGTTTTATAGCAAGTGTGACAGTTTGAAACAGGAGAAATTCAGAGCAACTTCACAGCTTCCTGTGAAGCTCTTCTGAAAAAAATAAAGAGACAGATGGGGGATTGGTCTCTGCTTTTCTACCTTTCAGACAGAACCCTGCCCTATCGTGAGTGTTCATGATGTGGATTTCCTTACCTTTGTCTGATTTTACCTATCATTTCACCAGGGAAATTTTTTTAAATTTTGATTTTGGAAGTACCGAAGTAAAGACTTTATTTTGTCTTTCTCTTAATTTCCATTGTAATTTGACCGCATATCCCCCAAATTTAAATATGGTTTCTGTTGATCCAAACTGCATTTATAGTGAATAAACTGTTAATGAACAAATATAATTTGTCCTTTTCCTATAATCTCTTCAAAAATTAAGATACATTTTAACATGAAAGAAATCTGTTAATTTTTCAGTTACCAGAATATGCAGATGTAGGAATATTGGCAAATAGTTTCAAAACCATTTTAAAAACTAAAGTAATTTTGAAATCAACTTCTGTTTTGCCATGCAAATATGTTTGTGAGCACACAAAATGTTTTTGTGGAACACAGAAGTTTCCAGCTAGGAGAAAACTATGCAAAGAAACTAATTAAAATGTTTTAAAAGCAACTATTAATCCCCACACCATTTTGTGGCTATTTTTCACTAGCCCTCAGTTCTTCATAACGCTTCTGACATATATATTATTTTAAATTCTAACCTAGTTTTGGATCCTTACTAATGAGGACCTAAGTAGTAGGAATGCAAGCACACACATGTTTTAGAGAAGATTTACAAGTCATAGTTGTGAAGACAATACAGCCGTTCACAGATCAGTGGAAACTCTAAGTGTTCATTTAACCTTTAGCCTTAGTGTCATGGAAACCTGTAGTGGTCTTTCACCCATAACACCCTTGAAAATGAAGATTCCTTCTGGCCAGGAGGCTTTCAATTACACTATTGATCAGAGCCATTTAAAGGATTATGAGCTCCTCATTTGGGCTGTAAAAAAAATCTAATTACATGGCAAAGAACAATATCTGTAATGGAGTAGGTTTTGAAAATACCTGCATTGCTACATATGAAAGGCACTTAGATGAAGCAAATAACCACAGTGGAATAGCTAGCAACTTAAATAGTTATTCTTCCTTAATTTTGGCTACCTAGAAAACTGGGATTTACATTAAATCTAAAGGATAACTTGCACAGCTAAGTTTTAATTTTAATATACTCAGCTACCTTGGTGGGAGCTGAGATCCATTTTTATTTTGCCAAATGGCTGAACTAGGTAGTCAGAAGGAACCTTAATGAGATTAAACATTTTGTATCAAGGTTAAAATGTATTACATTTTTCTTGTTAGATAGTGTTTCCTGTCCTGTCTCTTAAGTTCAGTGGGTGATATTTCAGAATTTCCAAAATAGCTTTCACATTCTCGTGTTAAGAAATAACACATTGGCTGCATTTGGCTTTCTATTTTCTGTTCAAAATATGTATTGGCTTTCTATTTTCAGTTTCAATTTCAATGAATGTAATAAGCTCACACTCCAAGGTGTGATTTTGACAATATTAATGATTCTGATCTTTGTGAATCTTGTTAACAAATAAAAGGTAGGTAGTATTTTTGCAACATTAAAATTTCAGAAACAATTATTTTAGGCATAAAATGTACCACTAACATATCCCTGATATGTTTTATTTAATAAATAACACAATGAAAGCACCTTGCATCTATTGAAGGTTCCAGAGGTTTACATCTCAAACAGCTCAAATACAACAGAAGCCATATTGTTTCATAATAAATTGTTTTCACTTCATTGTTAGAGTCAGGTGTTGTGTATGGACTACAATAAACAGATTCTCAGCTAGAATAAATGATTCAAACTCAGTTGACATCAGCAGAGGCAGGCTAACTTGCGTGAGTTTAGAATTCAATCCTGCCTGCTACAATATTTAATACCAGTCACACAATTGTTCAGTTGTTCAAAATTTAAAACAGCAGCAGTATGGCTGGTAAATATATAAAAATACATTAAAAGAAAAAAGAATTCTTAATTCTGTTAAACTGATTTTTGCATCAGTTCCAGCCTTGTGTATATTCAAGTATTTCACATTCAGTTTGTATAAACACATTCTTTAGAAAAAAAGATGGCTTAACAGATGGCTCAGAGAAAAGATTCAACAACAGAATTATTTGGGATAAAATGATCTTTCAAGGAAAGTGAGCATGAGCATTTTGTCTCATCTTCAAGGTATCCCACTGGTCATGGAATGAGGCTTATGCACAGCCATGCACTCTCTCACTGTTTGCAGGGTTCTTTATTGTATATTGCAAGCATGCAGATGTAAATTATCAGGGAAAAAAAAATAGGAGTTCATGGCTTTAAAAGGTGAGGAAATTATTTGATAAGCTGTTAAATGGTGTGATTGAGTTTGAGCTTTTCTCTGCTGGAAAGAATGGTACTGTCATTTAGATCACTCAGATTATGAAAATGTTTTGTATAACTGTTAGATATTTTTGCTGGTGAAAACTTGCAAATAGAGTAGGAATGGGGGATGTGGTTGGTACCCAGGCTAGAATAGCTGCTGAAGTGTTTCATTTTTAACTCAACAGATTTCTCTATTAGACCATTAATTGGGTAAGCCATTAAACACATTTTGATGTGACATCAAAGGTGTGTTTTAATTTGTGCTTTCCCAAATTGGAAGAAAAGAGTGATGCACTTCAATTCTTCACTGAATCAAGGTCTTAATTTTCCTCCCATGTTAACCAAATCAGCCTGATGGTCTTTGCTAATAGATGTTTTTCTATCTACATGTTATCTTGCAGTGGTGAAATGAAACTCTTACTGAAATGCTTTTCAAATTTGACAACTAATTGATAACCTGTATCTATGATTCCTCCAAAAATAATGTTTTTAGCCTCCTAGAGGCTGGCTTCTTAAAACTTGTCCTGCATGGTGGAATAGGGCTCACAGCAGCAGCAGCAGGGGATGGTTAAAGGTGTGGATGCCAATGCATGTGCCACTGTTTTAGTCCTGACAGATCGGCCTCCGCCCATCATCCTCCAGGGCCCCGTCAACCAGACCCTGGCCGTGGATGGCACAGCTCTGCTCAAGTGCAAGGCCACCGGCGACCCCCTCCCTGTCATCAGCTGGCTCAAGGAGGGCTTCACCTTCCTGGGCCGCGACCCTCGGACGTCCATACAGGACCAGGGCACGCTCCAGATCAAAGCCCTGCGGGTGAGTGACGGCAGCACCACGAGCGTGACGGGTTCTGTGTGTCCAGTTTGGGGCTCTTGGTGTGTGCCTCAGGCAGCTCTGCTGCCTTCCTGCTGTCTTCAGAATTAACCTGTCTTTCCTGCTGTGCAGTTCTCACCGAGTCGTTATCCATTCTTTGATGTTGTGTAGGAAAGGGCAGGGGAAAGAAGAGCAAAACTAGCTTCAGATATTTCTATGAGAATTCCCTAAAAATGGAATTGGTGTTTATAACCTTGTGTGGGTTGCAATAGAACACATGAGTTGGGGGTAGATGGAAATGTGAAAGAACAGTCCTTCCTTTTCATTGATCTTACCCTGAAGCCATTGGCCTCTCTGTCAAAACTTAGAGCAGTTCCCTGGCAGTAATTTTCTGAGTACTTGTGCTAGCACGTGATCTGGAGCTCATCAGGGCTTGACCATGCTCTTTCTCCATCAACAGCTCATCAGTCCCAAGCTGGCTGATTTATTCCAGTGTTATGCTTCCTGGAAATGTTCCACCAGGCTGCAAATGGGAAAAGACAACTAATACTGTAGCATACATGCAGTCATATGCAGAGGGATTTCTATTAAAAATTAAATACCTATTGCAATATTTACATTTTTGCACATGAGATAATACAATATTATCTAATACTTCAAATAGGATAATGTCATATATTTTTGATAAATATTGCATCATTAATCTCTATTTTGGCTTTTAATTTTTCCCTGTTCAAAGATAAATGTGTATTTGTTTGAGTGTATTTGGACAAGCATGCATATGGAAAAATAGCAAGTTAAATATACTTATTTATCAGGAACTTGAAGATAATTTCAGGAACCATTTAATTTAGTCAGCAGAAATGTCTGCACTTGGTTTTTCCATCCAAAAAAATGTCAATAAGCATAGTACTAATGACAAGAAATAAAGAGCAGTTATGTTTTCTGATGCCGTCGCATCAATGATCATAGATGAATTGTGAACTGCCTTGGAACAAAATAGAATTTATTAAAAAATTTATGCTAGCTTGCCTTGAGTAAACAATTTGTCGTTCCTCCCTGGGCTCAAGGCAGGTTTAGGCCATGAAGGTTAATGCATTTTTCCTGTAGAGCTGGATTAAAGGGTGCGCTTGAATAGCCAAGATTCCCCAGTAGTGTTAGAAAGCAGCAATTAAAGGTGGAAGCTTAGTGATTTCAAACAAACTTTCAGGCATTGATGATGGGCTTCTGAGGAGTGTCCACGAGGCAGAAGCTCTTGGGATACCTGTCTGCATGCTGCTATGCAAACAATGAAATTGGTTCTGAATCGTGCCAGAGCATTAATCTCACTGTTAAAGGCTGTGTCTGTAAACTAAAGGAAAATAAAATTGCTTGCAAGGGGAGAAGAAAACTGTATTAGTAGTGAGTGTGGTTCTGAAAGACATGAGGCTTTTATTGATCCTTAAGTGGCTCATTCACTAGTAGCCAATTTTCCTTAAAGGCTCAGAAAGGCATTTTTTAGAAAATCCTCCATAGCAGTTATGTGCAGTTTGTTTATAATGTGCATTGTTTCTTTGATTCAGGTTTAAGAACAAAAACTATACAGAAACATAAACGCATTTTTTTCTCTTGTGCCTTGAAAATTTATTTAAGCATGGATTTAAATGAGAAGTGCTTAACTTTTCTCTCAGGTCTACCTAAACAAGGACTAGCACCACTTCCTAAAGAAAAAAAGGGCCACGAAAATGTCCAAGTATGTTTACATCCCCAAGTTAAAAAAGAATTAATAATTTCCACTCACATGTCCTCAGCCTTCTAGCTGAGGGTAGATTTAGATTAGGTATCAGGAAGAAATCTTCCCTGTGAGGGTGGTGAGGTGCTGAAACAGGTTTCCCAGTGAATTTGTGGATTCCCCATCCCTGTCCAAGGCCAGGTTGGATGGGACTGTGAGAATCCTGGTTTAGCTGGATGGAATTTTGAGCAATCATGGCAGGGAAGAGGTGGAATGAGAGGATCTTTAAGGCCCTTTCCAACACAAACCATTTTCTGATCCTTTTCTGCTGTTTCTGTTACAGTCAAATGATTCATGAGCCTGCAGCAGTCATATGGGCCGCAGTCATAGCATGAACATAGAGATTTTTCTGATCAGCCAATCTCTCAGTTGCCCTGAGGAAAACAACTAAAAACTCACACATGTCACTCATTAAGTTCCCCTTCTGACAGTTCAGGACTGATGGAAAACTCCCTCCTGCTGTAGAAATGTGCCACACCAGGATTAGTCACCTGTATTACCTAAGAAACAAAACTTAATTTTACTGAATAGTAAAGATTTTTCTGTTCACCTCCCCTGTTTGTTTTCTTTTTTTCATAGCAGAAAAAAGTGTAAATAATCGAATTACCAACACACTAAATCTGTATCTAATCCATCCTCAACCTGGAAGTTAGATAATTTGCCATAGCTTGCAAAAAGGAGTGTACTTCCAGCTTGCTTTGTTTGCCTTCTACAAGTTACTCTGTTGTGTACACCGCATACCTCACTGAGTGCACCATCTGTCACAGTAGCACACAATGAAGTTGAGAACCATAGCCTTGAGAAATATTCCCTATTATCACATAATGAAGAATTATATATTTAATAAAATCTCAGATGAAGCAAAATAAAACACTGCTTCAGAACGCTATGAGGCTCTCTCCTCTGGAAAATGTCTTATTTCAAGGGTCTTTCTCATTTCAGTAGCAGCACTGCTGTATTTTGAGTCTTTGAGCCATTGTCAGAGGGGTTTTCATTATTTCTTGTATTTCACACAAATAGCCATCTCCTGAAATGCAAGTTATGCTCATTCAGGAAATTGGGCTGGCATTAATGAGTTGCTTCTTTGCCTAAGAATGGTACACTGCATTCTCAGTGTATCTGAAGAAAAATAGCAACAAAATTTGTGCATGACAAAGCTAAAAATCAATTGAAGTGTATATCTACAAGTAATCTAAAGAGCTTCTTGCTTTTTTGCCTTGACATTATTTTTGAAGAGTGACATATAAAGACATATGCTACAGTGCCAATCTGCATTTAACAGAAAAGTCATTACAATTCCTTGAAGCCCAATAAAGCTTCTTGGATGCAAGTTCTCTTTCCATCAAGTCATGTGATGGTGAATAAAATTCTTCTTAATCACTAGAGTCAGCACTCTCCCTTTTCTGCTTCCACCTCCATATTACCATGCTTTATGCATCATGGAAGGAGAGCTCCTCCATATATTTTGTGCTTTGTAAACTTACCATTTTCCATCCATCCCTGTAGTCTTCACTTGCTCTTGACTCAGAAATCTTTATTTTAAATTTAAACAGGAAATAGGAAAACCCTTGGCAAAGTTACTAGTAAAACAGTTTATACAGCGATGAGATTAATATTGGCAACTTAATTCAAAGCAGTTTCCCCAAATAAATCTAAAATATTTAAACTGACAAGGGAATCACAATAATTTTATACAAATGCAATATTTTTTTGCTACCAAAGGGCCTTGCAAGCCTGAAATAAAATCCCATGTGAGATGGAAGAAAGGTAGGCATGGTGTAGGATCTAATTTAATGCTGCTGTTTGGAAATTGCTTGGAGGACTGTCTATGTAGAGAGAACCACTGTTAAGAGAGAACTGTTAAGTTTTAGCAGCATTTGTGTGTAGGGTGTATAGAAATTACTTCATCTGTCATAAGAGTCTAAGGTGATGTAACATCCTTTCTGGCACTTGACCTATGGGTCATCTTGGGATAATAAATGCTGATATTTCACCTTCTAAGAGGTTAATTGCTGTTATATTGTTACCTGATTTCACCTGTGTTTTTTGTAACCAATGCAAACACTGACACTGTCAGTGCTCCTTTCTGGAGCATTTACAGTACTGGTACCATTAACAATATGAAAATTAGAATTAGTAAAGTATTAGAAGCAAGTAATCTTATTATAGTTCTCTAAATGAAAGCCACCATTAAATGATTGCTTGAAAATGTCTGGTGCCTTCTAGTCTGGTGCAAAATGTAGACTAAGTCCTTCTTAGCAAGGAGCATTTAGAAAAAGAAAATAAGAGTAAAGTCAGCTGATTCTAAAAGGTTGTTAAAGCTGCCCTTGTGCCCTTTTCATGTCCAGCTCTCTGATACTGGGACTTACACTTGCGTTGCTACAAGTTCCAGTGGGGAGACGTCCTGGAGTGCTGTGCTGGAGGTGACAGGTAAGGGATGCCCAGGGATGGGCTCCACTTGGCACACCTGGAAATACAACATCAGTCTGCGTCAAATGATTCTAGAACTTCTAGGGCTTGACATGGAGAAATTTTGGATGAGAAGGCTGTGTTCCTTCTCACACATCTTGCATTTCATTGCTGCTGTCTTGTAATGCCCATTGGCATCACATCATATCTATGTCCAGTGACTGCAGTATGCTCTAATTCTTCTAACAGCAGCATTAATAAAACATGGATTTGTCCAGTAATAGGCTTGGGCAAGAAAACTCCAGAGTGCTCTCTGTGAGTACTGCAGTGGATTTAAATACAGGAAATTTCTCAGCAGCTAAGTTTTTGGTACTTTATGTACATTTCAGAAAGCTGGGCTTTTTTGTTATTCTTTCTTTTCCTTCTTTTCTTTATATATATATATATATATATATTTATATATAAACTTTTGAGTTTTGCTCTTTTTTTTCTTTATTATGTACTTAAAGAAGACAGCCCTTCATCCAAAAACATGTGGTAGTAATGCAGTTGTTGACTTAGTTGTTTATAGATTAAGAACATCCGTTATGCTGATTTTGCAGATGTTTGCCATGTTTTTCGTTTTAATCTCCTGCTTTGATCAAATTATATAACCAAGGATAAAAAGTAATCGTTTTGTGTTTGCCCTTCACAGAATCTGGTGGAGCAACAGTCAGTAAAAATTATGATACAAATGACCTCCCTGGGCCACCATCCAAACCTCAGGTCACTGATGTTACTAAGAACAGTGTCACCCTGTCCTGGCAGCCAGGGACCCCTGGAAGCCTACCAGCTAGTGCATATATCATTGAGGCTTTCAGGTATGTGAATTATACCACTTTTAAGCTCTTTTCTTTCTAATTTTGCTTAAACCCTGATACCAGGGTTTTGTGGTGTTCTTTTGGACTCTACACATATCATTAGAAGCTCATTAACTGACTCAACTCCATAGAAGGCATTGATTCATATTCTTTATATTGATTTTTTTATAGTTTATCACTTTTTTCTAAGTGATTAATTGGAGGACATCTACCTATTTCTTCAGGTCAACAAGAACATAACAGAATGGTGCAGTAATTATTTGTCTCTTTTCCTTTAACATTGATGATCAGTAAGACTCTCCTGTGGGAATGCTGCAGGTTCTTGGCTATCATAGTACAAGCAATATGGAAATAAATGGGCAATCCTGAAGCCTCTCTGCAAACTTTAATTCCTGCCCTTGTTAAAGCAGTCAGTATTAAGGGGTCAAAGTGCTTTAAATTTCTATTTTTAGGTGTTTTAGATAGATGAAAACTTCTAACTGAAAAGAGCAGTATTGATAATTTAGGCTTTTATCCTGCAGCCTGAGGCTTTAAAGAATCCAGGTGCTCCCCTGCACACAGCAGCAATTATTGTGTGGTGCAAAAGAACTCCTGGGCTCCAATTCAGCAAGTTTGTTTGAGCACAGGCCGTACTCTGACATATATCTCTAAAACACATTTCAGCTTAAAAATCTGCACCTCCTTAAATGTGTTTCTTAATCCAGATATTACAAAAATGACAAATACTTCCTCTCTAAGTTAAAATTCATGCAAGACTTTTTCATAGTCATATGCATGCAGATTCTTGCTCAAATGTTATGTATGTAAAGAACATTGAAGTATTTGCAGTATGTTGGTTTTGTTCTAGAGCTTTATGCATTGTATGAATGAAGGGATTCAAGTAACATAAACCTTATACCTTTCCATTTCCTTTTTCCTTTTCATACATTCAAAGATTTTTTATCAATGCTATACAACAAAGCATAGTAAAATAAAATTTTCTCTTTAAACTTTTCTGATGTTTCACCCTAGATAAGCTTTAATGGCATCCCATCAATAACTTTTTAAAAAGCCAGAGATTTTCATTAAAAGTTGTTTTAACAATTGCATTTGAAATCTTTTTATATGGTGGATTGTAATCTAATTATAATAATGTTGAATTGAAAATTTAATGGCAGAAAAAATATTCATATAATTTCCTCCATTTCAAAGAATGTTTTCAATTTTTTTTAACTTTGAGAGTGAATTTAGTTCAAGAACACTTTTCTTCCAATGACAGTTTATTGAAATAGTTTACTTAGGAGTATAGAAAATTATTCTTCAAAAGAACTTTCCTTTCTAAGCCTTTTGTTCAAAAGTAGCCTTTTTATCATTTAAATTTACTTTACAGCTTTCTACCTTTTTCCTTTTGCAGATATTTTAGAGAAATAGCAAAAAGTTTTACTTTTATTGCAAAGAGAAGTACTTTTGACAGCTGCATTATGATTTTTAGCCCATCTCGATGAGCTAACTGAAAAAAAAAATTTAATTTCACCCTGCTTGAGACCATGTTTACAGGGGTCTCAGGTTCTGGGAAGAGATGAGGATTTGACTCCATGTTTCAGAAGGCTTGATTTATTATTTTATGATATATATTACATTAAAACTATACTAAAAAAATAGAAGAAAGGATTTCTTCAGAAGGCTAGCTAAGAATAGAATAAGAAGGAATGATAACAAAGGCTTGTGTCTCCGACTCTCTGTCCGAGCCAGCTGGGCTGTGATTGGCCATTAATTAAAAACAACCACATGAGCCAATCACAGATGCACCTGTTGTATTCCACAGCAGCAGATAATCACTGTTTCCATTTTGTTCCTGAGGCCTCTCAGCTTCTCAGGAGGAAAAATCCTAAGGAAAGGATTTTTCATAAAAGATGTCTGTGACACCCTGCTTTTACTACTTTTTTCTGCACCAAGAGTTGATCCAGAGTTATGAGACAGTTCCTTTCTCATCTTTATTTTTTTCTTGTATTGGTTTATAATCTCCCACACTGTTGTTGTTGCAGTCAGTCTGTGAGCAACAGCTGGCAGACGGTGGCCAACCACGTGAAGAGCACGCTGTACACCGTGCGGGGCCTGCGCCCCAACACCATCTACCTGTTCATGGTCAGGGCCATCAACCCCCAGGGCCTGAGCGACCCCAGCCCCATGTCAGACCCCGTCAGAACCCAAGGTAAGGGGAACTTCCAACTTTCATGTGCTTGGGCTAAAATGGAGAGAAGGGACTGAGGATTCACCAATAGGTCAGTCTGGCCATTTGGCTTCAGCACACTCACTGACGGAATCATGATTTGAGCTTCACCAGTGAAGATGAGAGTAGTCCAATGTTTGCTGCATCACTTTGGGGCTTAGGAGAGAAAGGTTACATCCTTAATCCTTTGTACAGTGTAGACCTTTTTGTTTGCAGCTCACTTAGACTCCATTTGCCCTTGGTTACTATTCAAAGCAATGTGAGTCACTCACGCACTCTGAATACTCTCCTCTCTTTACTACATGGAGCGTATCTTTCCTCTCCCTTAGTAGGGATATACTATGATAACAAGTGTTTATAACAGGCAAGACACTGTTTAGAATTGTGTTTAATCAAAAGAAATGTACAACACATGCTGATTAATCTGAGCCAACATTTAGGCAGAGAATTCACATAAATTAAGACATCTGCATGCTAAGAATGTATAGAAGTTATTCTGAGAAAGGTATGGGCCTTCTATTTATGTACCTATATTTCTGAATTCTTTGTATTAATCCATTGCATAAACCAAGAGAGAAGGCTGAAGTGAAATTGCTCATTTGTAGGGTGGTGATACGATTGGTGGCTGTGATCCTGCATTGCTACTGAATCACCTACTGAAGTCTGTTCACTTTGCATCAAGCTCTAACTGAATATAACTGTCACAAACAGATTTCCCTTCACAGCATAGATGTTTTTTTTTTGTTTTGACAAGACGTAGCTTGAATACTTAATTCAAGAGTGTAGTTCTGTGTTAAACATGTTGTAATACAGAAATTCATAATTCTTTGGAATCATAATTTTTTGAATCCAAAGTAATAGCTCCTGTCACAGTCAATTTGAAATTAGATATTCTGTCTCTGTTTATTGTTATTCAGAGACTTCTGTCTCTGAAGGTCTGAAGGTGCCCATGGGGAGCACATCCTGAGTCAGTCTCCAGCATGTGTGTTCTAAGTTTTTTGGGTCCTTTGCTGGATGGAAAGAGATAAACAAGAGTAGGGTGGTGTTTCTTTATCACATAACCATCCAGCCTCCCTTACCCCAGCCTAGTCCTGAATAAATCTGTCCTGAATAGTTATACCCTCAAAATAGTAATTATGGCTGGAAGAGGAAAAACAGAGCTGCTTTCTCAAAAGCTGGAGGAGTGAGTTGTGCAGGGATTTCATGGCCTGATTATCCGTGGAGTATCACAAGTTTTCTTCTTTCTTATTTTCTCATTATTATAGGGTGAGTCATGCTTTTTATTGCGACAGCCTTTTAGTCTGCATAACTTATCACCTAGCTAAAAAAAAAACCCAACAACTTTGTTTGGCATTTGAGTGTCAAGTATAGACTTTTTATCTGACATACTGACAAGCAATTTGATTTCAGTAAAAACATGTCTTTTAATTAGCTACAGCATGTTTTGCAGCTTCCATTTCCAGAAGCTGTTTAGCAGTCAAGCACACTGAGACATGTACAGGATTTATAGCTTCTTTGCAAGCCTGCAGTTTAACAGAATTAAATCATAAAATCAATTGAAAATTAACATAATGTTTTGATGTGATTTCTAATTATGCCTGAATTCAATTCAGGCTCACAGAAGAAGCTGACACACAGTGGAAAGCCTATTCATGGTGGCCATGGAGAAATAACAAAGCAGCTATGGCAGTGCTATAAAATAATAATTTGCAACAGGTGTCTGTGGTAGCTTTCATAGCTGAACGTTTAATGATCTGGTATTCAGTACAGCAAATACAAGTAATAGGATTTAATGTAAATTTTCACCAGTGAACTGCAAATAGATAATCAGGTACTTTCAAAAGGTTTGTCTTATATGACTTATGTGAAATAAGGACAGAGAAATCAGTAACTACTCTAATGAAGGAGTTGATTTCTTGTTGGATTATTAACAGATGAAACCATATACTAAAAAGCTCTTCCAAAAAATGATATATATTCCTATCCCTGAAATTTAAATAATAATAAATAATAGTATATTTGCTGAACACTGACAAAAGAGGTCTTAGAAAAAATATCTAACCAATTTAATTGTGATCAGGATGTAGCTTCTTTCACCAGTTTTGTTTGAGTCATGATTCTATTATTCCAATATTTAATCATACCCTTAGAGACAGATGAGCTGCTTTTCCACCAGAAGCCTCCTAGGCTTCTGAAAATGACATTACACTGGGAACATCACACATGTTTTCAAGTGTACATACCAGAAAACTGAATTCCACATGTACATCTTGGCATTCACTTCTCACTGTTATTAGTCCATGTTATTCTGCTACTTCTGACATATGTGCTGTGAAAATGATGAAATGCTGTTCACACAAAATACTTTGTGGAAATATCTTTTCCTCTGAGGGAATACACAGGTACCTTGTTGGCTGTATACCACAGCATAACTTAAACTAAAATGTAGCCATGGATTACTGCAGGTTTATTGTAGCAACAATCATAGCCTTTTGTGGATAGAAGCATAAATGATCATCCTCTAGATCAGTCTGAGCTGCAGTTTTATTTTACAATATCTCTGATTCTTGGCTGCTTCAAATAAACATAATTTGATAGACCACCACCTTCACTGACACTCATATTTGGATTCTATTCCCTTTGGAGATCCATGGAGCCATTTTAATTTGGATATCAATAGAAGCCTGTGGCAATATTGTTTATTGGTGGCTCAGAACCCATAACAACCCAGAATTAGGAATGTGAATTATTGATCATCAAAAACTACTTACTTTCAAGACCTGGAGATCCCTGATTACAGTTGTTATGTTTAAAGGTTTCATTTTTAAGACAACAATTATTTCTTTTAAATAGCATTTAGAAGATAAAAAGAAATCATGTGATATCCATTCCCATATCTAAGTCCATCAGAAAGGGTAAAAACTCTTACATATTTATCAAGGACATGATGTTGATCCAAAAAATGAGGAACTGTGATTATAACTTTGCCTACTGAATTCTAAGGGAAGACCAAGCAGAATTCAGAGATGCCTAGACAGGCATGACCATAATTTATCAGTGCTTTTTTGAATATCTCTATAATCAGATTTTGGCTAGAAGAAAAAATTCCTCCACACACTTTGAAGGGCACATCATCTTGAAGAGAAAATTTTTGTGGTAGATTGTTTTTGCTGGCCTTTTACTAGATGGGAATCAGTTTGGCTTCCTAAATTAAATCTTTTTTTTTTTCATGTTTGCACTAGATTTCATTAGCTATGTCTGTTAAGGGAAAATTTGCTTTGCAGGGGAAAATGCTATTTTTAGTATTTGATTTCTTGTGTGCATGGCATGTGGGGAGAGGAAGCTCAGTGAAAGTTTGGAAACATATAATGACTTAATGTCATGTGTGCTCTAGCAAAATAAAAAAAAACACTGTTCATTTTCTTCAATTATACTAACCAATTTGGTTCCAGACATCTGTGCAGCATTATTATTATCTGAGTACTTTGGAGCTAGAGAACATTGCATCTCTCTCATCATTTACCCAAGCTGAGAAAACTTTGCCATCTAGTCAGAACACTCCTTTAATCATATTTATATTTCATGATTTCCTAAGTGGCTAGAGGTGGATGGCTTGTTTGCATTATTTGATATTTGTCTGGGTTTCAACCTGAGTGCTGTATTTTTTTAAAAGCAGAGGATTTTCAAGTCAGGTCATTAGGCTACTCAGTAAATTCTTTTGATGCCATATATAGCTCTTCTCATTAAAGTGATGCTTTCATATGTGTGCCTGGCAGATATCAGCCCCCCAGCACAAGGTGTGGATCACAGGCAAGTCCAGAAGGAGCTGGGAGATGTCATTGTACGGCTGCACAACCCTGTTGTGCTGACACCCACCACAGTGCAAGTCACCTGGACGGTAAAGTTTCTCTGTTCTTACCTTAACTGTGCTTTCAGTCTGCTTATTTTGCCTATTTATCCCTTCAGTGTTTTATCACCCAGAAAAGACCCAGTCTTGACCCCAACATGAGTGCTCTGACAATCTAACATACAGCAGTGTGTGTATTACACATATATGTGAGTGTATATATATGTATGAGTGTGTGTATAAATATGGCAATGAAATAGTCATCTTCTCTTTCAAGTCAGGCAGGGTCAATGTCTTCAGTCTTCTGCTTGAAACAAGTTAGCTGTCTGACTAGAAAAACATTATAAAAATGAGTATGTTTTAAGGGTAATTGATCTGTGGATTCATTACGCTGTATGTTAGGAAATAATCAAAGTAAAATATCAACAAGAAATTGCTGTGTGAAAAAGTACTGTCTGCTTCAAGTCACAGTGACCTCTGGCAATACCCTATTATTTAGTGACCTGAAAATCAAAATTATCTTTCCTGCAGAGCACTTGTAGTGAAGTCAGAAGCATGTGGTGCTAGTGCCTGACACACTGTCTATCATCTGGTTTGCCAGCACAAGCCTTACCCACAATGAGTGAATATCCTTTCATTAGAGAAGACCAGAGTCTTCTGGGCAGTGCTTAACAACATTTCTATTTGAGGGGTCAAACTACTGGGTAGAATTTCTAATATAGTGTTTGGCTTTCAAATGGCTCTGTTTCCCTTCCTGAGGCTTGATGGAAAGGATCTGTAAGGGTAGGAGAGCATTCTCAGGGCACTGCAGACCAGAAAAGAGTGCTTTGCTGTTGGGGCATCTGCCCAGAGGAAGAAGAGCCAAGAGTTGAAGAGTGAGAGGAAAACTGCCCTGCACAACATCAAAACAGTTGTATTTTATGGGATGAATTCTGCTAAGGGGGCATTCACAATGCTCAGGGTTTTTCTTCTGCATGTCATATTGCTGAAAGCTTAATGTGTGCAGGGGATTACACAAGAGGAGATAAGAAGTGTGGTGATAGATTGTGTATTACAAGGATTACTGTTGTTTTTGCACAACACAACCATTATTATGGGAGCTTATGCACCATCCTTGTTCTGACAGATTTCAGTGGTCAGGGTAAAGATTAGAATAAATAGAGAAACCCACAATTTTTTCTTCTGTGGAAGATTATTTAGAGTATATGTCACTGCATTTTGCCATCAGTGATGTCAGCACACAGCTTGGCTTTCTTAAAATGCTGCATGTTTCGGCTACAACTCCTCCAGAACAGGCTGACTAACCTTTGTGGCAAACCCTTTTGCCCAAGCAGATGGATCAGTAGTAGAAAATTTGGATGTTAGCAGAGAGTAATTGTAAACCTGGATCACATCCATGTGGTGCTCCTTCAAGTCCTTTTTTGGGTGTGGCATCTATCAGAAATACAGATTCATAGGCTGGCCCTTGCTTTAGCATATACTGCAAAAGGAAGCTCCAATATAAACAGAATTCAGTTTTATACCATGTAACCAATGTCATTATATTTTTAATTTTATATATATATGTACGTGTGTGTGTGTGTGTATATGTATGTGTGTGATGTATATTCCTCTAAAAGAATTTCCTGGCGTCCCTACTGAACAATGAGTGAAGAAATGGTAAGGTAAAGACAAATTGCTGGAAATGCTATGGATCCCAGCTTATTGGGAAGATCCCTCAAAGCAGTGACCCTGTGCCACCTGACAAGCACAGAGACCTCTGTAGAGGCGTTTTGGAATTGCCCAGGGGAAGAAAGACACAAGGGAAGATCTCTAAAGCAGCTAATTAGAAACTACCCAGCAACCAGAACAAAAACAATTAATTAACCATAGTCTCTAGGAAAAAAACCCCACTCTATCCAGAGAATAAAGTCCACACTATTAACATAAAATGGATAGATAGTGTAGCTATCATACAAAAGGACAGAAGTGCCATGAGAGTCATAAGACTCTTTGTGTAGGTTTTATGCAGTTCAAAGGGTGAATGCCAAGGAATGTCCTTGGTTACTGAGTTTCTGGCATCCTGACTCACAGCAAATTAACATCACTTTATTCTCTCCTTTATGAGACTATTTTGGTTTTTCTTTTTCTTTTTTTTTTTTTTTTGTTCAAATTTGAGTTTAAATTTTTGGGAATAGTTCCCTGTGGCTGTGTTGCAATTTTAAATTATGCACATACATATACACACATATTTTGAAAAGAACGTCAGGCTTACAATATCAGTGTTAAAAAATAAGAAGAGGAATGTCAAAAGTTAAATTTTCATTGCCACTTAAATTTATTCCTCTTGTGTATAGATATTAAAATATAGCTGTAATTATCTGGTCACATAGAGGATCTCTTCTTCATGGAGCTATTAAACATTTCTTTTTATCTTCTTTATTCTCTGTGTGGTGCCAGGTCTTATTAAATTCATAGCATTGAAACCTTGCATTGAATAAAAACTATTATTTTGTCTCACATGCTTGCTTATCTGTCATGCTCTCAACCGTAACATTTGTGTGCTTCACAAATAATACTGAATTTAACATTACAATGATAAAAATGTGTCATTATCCTAACTTTACACATAGAGAGGTGAGGTGCAGAGATAGTTATTGCTGATGAGACACGTGGAGGCAGACATGCTCACTGTTATCAAATGGCTAATTTTAAGCCTTGAGCATGATTTATATTTACTTTTATTAAAACATTTCACAATGCAAGAGCATATTCTGTACTCCAAGAGCTTTTTTAGCTGACCTCAGCTATGGGTCAGCACTTCTAGCCTCAGTGGGCATTAAACTGAAAGTTTCATTAGTGACCAGATATGAAATGTTCCCTAGCATTATAAAGAAGCCCCGTGGCACAAGCAGGAATAAAAAAATCAGTCCTTCAATGTGGCAGAAGAATTGCTGCTTTGAAATCCTTACTGCCTTTTTGGAGGCTAGCAGGCAGAAGGATAATTCCTTTACCTCCGTTTTTTTAATTTGATGTAGATTTTAAATGAATGTACTTCACTGGAAGCTTCAGGAGTCAGGTCCAGATGATGATCATCCCCATTTGCCTTGTTCCTGTAGGATAGTAAATGCTAGTGCAGTTTGAATTTTGTGAGATTCCTGTGAGTCTGTGCCAGGGAGCACGGCACAGCATGCAAGCTACTCTGCCCAGCTGGAGAATGGGAGCAGAGGATTCCTTAGGATATTTTGGGATAGAAATTTGCATGTTACAGAGCATATTGCAAATTGTATTTAGGGTGCAGATTAGCAGGTTTGCTTGAAAGGAGTTTATATCTGCAGCATAAGCTGCATTGTGGGTTTCTTGCCATTGTTTTAACAACCTAATAGCCATTGAACCTGTCTGGTGTTCAGCTGTGGCATGTGCAGGGAAAATGAGCTTCCTGCTCTGCAGAAATGGTTTTGTAAATGCCTCCTGCACCCTGGACTCCTAAAGGGGGTGAGAAGGAGCACACAGGACCAATTCTGCTTGTAGACCATGTTAGATCAGTGCTGAGCACCATCTACCCAGGATGTGTCCTCTCCTACCTCTCCTATCTATCTATCTATCTATCTATATATCTATATATCTATATCTATAATTACAGTGGTCTCTTGAGGTTTAATTTAGTGCAGATCCAAGAGTATCTGCATGTTCTCCCTTGTCCTTTGAGGGTGCAAGTGTGTCTTTGTATCAGCAACAGTTGCAGATCTTTTGAGTTGATATCACCCACTAGAAATAGTCTCTGCTCCCAGTATTCAACACAGAGAATTCCTGCAATTGCTGAAGTTATACTGACTAATTTGTGTAAGCAAGTGGCAACCATTTACATTCTCTATCCTTTCATCAAGCCAGAGTGCATGTTTCTGCAGCTCTGCCTGCGTGTGAGTGTGTGCCAAACTTGGAGTTGCATAGCTGAATTAATGTCTTTAAGCATATAAGGATATTTTTAGTAGTCTGCTTGTGGCATGACACATCATTATCACAGAAATGGAGAAAATTGTGAAGTCACTGTCACTTTGTATTATATATGACAGTGTAACTGTAGATAAACATACACATATGTATGCACGTGTGTCTATGTATATGTGAAATATAACTGTTCTACCTCTCACAAATATTTCTGGTTAATCCATGTAATTATCCAAGAGTAATTTTTTACTAATTTGGAAACTGTGAACAAAATCTAAAAATCCACCTTTCTCAGTAAGTAAAGTGCCCTCTGAGTAGCTTCCCAACATTTTGACCCTATAGAAGGCCCTGTTCAAACAGACTAGCTTTATTTGGGTATGAGAGATAGCTTTGTATCCTCTCCTTGATACTGAATGTGACTGAATGTTTATAGAAAACATAAAAATGTCTAATATTTTTTTTTTGTCAGTACCCTCCCAGACTCTGAATGATGAAATCACTGTCAATAATCTGCTATTTGGGCAGATCACTCTGCCCTGCTGTAATCAAGTTACTAATTGAAAGCTCTGTGAGATTCAAGCAAGCCTCAAATCAAGCTAGTTTATAGCACCCATAAATGTGACAGCCTTGTGGTACTGCTGCATTCTGCTTTCATAGTCCTTCTATTGTTTAGTCTTTCAATTTAAGATCTTAGAGGTCTGGGAGGAAAATACGTGTATGGACAATTTGTCTGGGAGTAGACACAAAAGTATGAGGAACTGAAAATTGGTATTCTTTAGATTTTATCTTCTCAGGGAGTTGGGGGTTGGGTTTCTGTTTGTGCCATGCTGTACAAAATTCTTTCCACTCTGTGTTGTAGCAACACCATGCTACTGTTCAGTCAGGTCAGTTCTGAATTTTCAGCTTTCTCCACTAGGCAGCAGTCAGTAGAGCTTAAAAATAGAGCAAAGACAAAATGGAAAGTTCTAACAAAGTTAGGCCATCTTTCAGTGCAGCTTCTAACTAAGAAGTAAAGCAAGAATCAAACCCAGTGTTTGATTATTAAACATCATAACCTTATATTGTAATTTAGGTTAAAAATCTCTATTGCAAAGTGGATAAAAGCATTATTTTTGCTGAATTTTGTAGTAAATGTGAGGGTCATAAAGTCTTTATATCCATAAAACATTTAGTTAATCAAAGTCAAACATGGATAAAAACAGTTTACTCTGATTTACAGACTCCGTTCATCTGGAAACAGCTGCTTAATGTTCTTCTTAAAAACACAGCTTGATTCTTTCGGTATTAACAAGCTATTATTGTGAGTTATATCCCTCTTTCAGTGCATAAATTCACTTAAAGTGAATGCAGAGAAGTTTATAAAATGCAAGCTTAATGTTGTTGTAACATATGTTGCAAGGTTTTTAACAGTGACAGTTTTGATGAAAGACATTTCTGCCTTGCTTTCATAAATAAAGCTTTCTTCTTGCTTGCCTTGCTTTTTAATGTCTAAGAATCTGTGTCCCCTCTGAATGCCTCAATAAACTGTAACAAGATTATAGGAAGAGCATAATAGAGCATGGTTTGTGCTTTCAGCCTTAAATTCATTTATTCTTAAGAGAAGTCAAACAAATGTTTCTCTAATTCTGGAATATCTTTGAGCAAGCAAATTGACAAGAACATAAGAAATACACTACTTGTTGAGTCTAAATTATAACACAGAATTACCAAACAGCCTGCTCTATGGTCTTGTTATTTGTGCTGCACTTTCTTTGCTCCTTATTTGGCAGCTACAGAAGCAGTTTGGTTTGGTTTACTTTTAGCAATCAAATTGGTTTTGATTTTTTAGTGGTTTTTCCCAGGAAAATTTTGCAAGAATCATAATGCCTTGATTTTTGGGCTTTTTTTTTTTTTTTTTTTGAAGATAAATAGATCTCCAAGATAAAATACATAGAAAGCTTTTCTTCAAATAAAAATCCTATTTATAGGATAAAATTGTTAAACTTTCATGGTCCAGTCCTGAATTCTGCTTGCCTAGCAACAAATAAAATATAAACCAAAACAAACATTCCATCTCCATCTGATGGCCTGAGAGCATCACATCCCCTGGATGCAAAGGGGCTGCACAGGCTGTGAACACAACAAACAGCACATGTCTTTGGAAGTTGTTTTCTCTGCATCTGTCTTATGTTTATTTTAATTTGCTGTGCATTTCATGAGCTGTGAGCCAAGTAATGGACTAATTGTAAGCATGTAGGATATCTTCAAAGACTTGTCCTTTTCTGAAAGAATTTGTTTTTCTTTTCTTCTCCTATTTCAGCACATCAGTAGCCAAGATGTGCTTAGTAAGTTTACATGCAGCAAGCCTTATGCCAGGGTTTTCTTTTCATGATTTATTGCAGGGGTGGGGGCCTTGTTTTATGATTTAAGATGGTATTTGTCATGATGTATAGAGTTGGAGAAAGCAAAGCAGAAAGAAACATTCTGTAACCAGTAATGTGAGACAAATACTCTTTGTAGACAATTAATCAACAGTGATTTACAAGAAGGTGTGGGAACCCAGAACATCCCTCTGGCTGTCCAGGATGGCCAAGACCCCTCCCAGGGGGCTCAGAAGCCCTGGCACAGAGCCCAAAACACCTGTGGCTTTGATTATGACCCGTGGAGGAAATTACCAGCCTTATATGAAAATCAGCAAGCCATAACAGTTTAGGTAGAATAATAGTGAAGTTATCACGGGGTGAAAAAGTAGATTTTGGGGTTTTTGGTATGGGGGTTCAGGAGGCAAGATGGAGGGATCTGGGTGTGTCCAGCCTTTCTCCTTCTTCTTCTTGGCCTCCATCTTCTGCTGTGATGGTGGCACTTGCAGGTTGGTTTAGAGTAGAAGCTCACTGTCTAACATAGGTGATAGGTATTGGAAAGTAATTGTAAATATTGTACATGTACTTTTTAGTATAAATACATAACACCCCCCGGGGGGCAGGCGGTGTGCCTGGAACTGTCCTGTTGGACGGACCTCGGCATGGCAGGAGAACATTTTTTATAGATAAGATGCAATAAACAACCTTGAGACCGAGAACTGAAGAGCTCTGACTCCTTCTTCAAGCGCTCGGCCTGGGAAAAGAGACTTAACAATCTCAGCGTCACAGCGACCCCCAAAAGATCCTGAGAACAATGTAGTTAGAGTAATAAATTCAGCATTGTAACTGTGAATTTTCTCTTTTTGATGAGGGGAGAATTGTTCTAGGCAACTGTTTGTTTTCTTTTTGCGCAGTTTGTTGTGGTTTTTTGTGACAGTGTTCGCAGGGGTTCTTGGATGAGGGGAGAGACAAGGATCTGACTCCATGTTTCAGAAGGCTTGATCTATTATTTTATTATATATATTACATTCAAACTATACTAAAAGAATAGAAGAAAGGATTTCTTCAGAAGGCTAGCTAAGAATAGAATAAGAAGGAATGATAACAAAGGCTCTGTCTCCGACTTTCTGTCCGAGCCAGCTGTGACTGGCCATTAATTAGACTGGCCATTAATTAGAAACAACCAACATGGGCCAATCACAGATGCACCTGTTGCATTCCACAGCAGCAGATAATCAATGTTTCCATTTTGTTCCTGAGGCCTCTCAGCTTCTCAGGAGGAAAAATCCTAAGGAGAGGATTTTCCATAGAAGATGTCTGCGACAGGTTTTTATTTGTTTATTTGTTTGCTTTGGTGTGTTTATGGATGTGTAATTTGCTGTCATTGCCAGGTGGACCGGCAGTCCCAGTTTATCCAGGGCTACCGCGTGCTGTACCGCCAGACCTCGGGCCTGCCCGCCCCGGCCACGTGGCAGAACCTGGAGGTGAAGGTGCCCACCGAGCGCAGCGCCGTCCTCGTCAGCCTCAAAAAGGGGGTCACCTATGAGATCAAGGTGCGCCCTTACTTCAATGAGTTCCAGGGCATGGACAGTGAATCCAAGTCTGCTCGTACCACAGAGGAAGGTTGGTAAAAGGGGCACCCCTTGGGTGATGAAATTAGGTACTTCCACAAGAAAATTAAGACATTCAGTAGATGCAGTTCTACAGATATTTCCCTTAATTCCTCATATTATCTTTGCAATTATATTGGTGTTCATGTATTCAAAAAAAGCAACGGGCTTTCATAGCTGGCACTGGAGGTTATTCGGTGCGTGCATGTGTTCATCTCTGTTTCCTCCCCATGATTTCTGTTTGTTACACACTGAGGTGATGTTAAAATTTGATATAATATTCAGCTTTGTGCTGTAAATATCCCCTGAGAAAGCACTGTGCTGGTCTTATATTCTTCTAGCTGATACATCCTTCTAAGGTGCAGGTGGCTTTTGGTCTTCCAAAAAGTGTTCACTGCAGCCCTTCTTTTGTAACCACTGCTGTTGCAATGAAAGACCTTGGTCTGCACTTTGAAAATAAAGTAAATGCAAGCTCTCACAGATGAGTGTTTGATACTAAGCACATCCTTCTGAATGGGTAATAATGTAGATGAACAGTTGGCTGGGAAACGAGGAGTAGTGAAGGACATGCATTTAACTGGTCTGGAGAAACTCCAGTCTCAAGGGCACAGCACTTCACAGTTTCTGTTAGCACAGTGTTCATGAAATTGCACTGTTCAGTACTGCAGAGGATTCCCCTGAGCACCTTTGAAGCCTCTCTGAAACAGTCAGGATTCAGACAGAGTGAACAGTTTATACTTCTGAAATGCTCAAGCTTTTATATCTATAGCATTTAGCCTTGTATATCGTTGTGCTAAAGCATGTGCACTCCAGGGCTGCTGGGTTTTTTTTGAAAAGTAAAGACACTGGGGTGAGATGTAAGTAATTTTAATCATTTGCTGTTAGAAACCCTCCTTTCTACCCATGTAATGCAGTCTTTACCTGGAGAATCTCTCCTGTAAAAGTAGGATGGTCCTGACAGTGAGGATTCATCTTCTCTCTGTGTCACTGATTTTTTTGATTTTTTAATTTTTTAAAGCAAGAGAATGAAGTACTGGTGGAGTTTTAAGATGTTCATATGGTTTCAATGGGTTTTGAGTGCACTCTTTCCTTCCTATTGAAAGTGCATCTTAATCATTTACAGTGATCTCCTGAGGTTTAATTTAGTGCTGATTGCCAAGTACTCTTTAATTCTGGAACAGACTTGCTTATTACTCACTTTTCTCTTTGATTTGTTATGAATATTACCCAACATGTAAGTAAAACTGAAGATAACTTGGTTGCACTTTGCACTTTGTGGATAAGGAAATTCAGTGTCCTGCAACATGTAGAAGAGTGTGCAGGAAGGCAGTTTTCAAGTCTGATTTGGAATTTGGGATTTTATGGTTCCCAGTTCTTTGTTCAAACTATAAAGCCTATATCAGTTAATGAAGAATATGTTTGCAGCACTCTAAACAAAGGTTTTCTAATTAAAATGAAAATTTTAAAAATATTTTAAAATATTTCTACAGATTTTTCTCTTGTCCAATTTCAATTGATTTTTAGTGTTTATTTAGATTATCTGACTGTTTCTTGCTAAAGGTAAATTAAGAACTACTGAAAAAGAGAGAAGGTCTTGTACCTCCTGTCTATTTCTATAAAATACTTGAGGAATGACATTCTCTTTCATAAACCTTAGCTCCCAGCAGAGCCTGTCAGGTAATTTCCTACCTTAAAGGACACTTTGTTCATGTGGAATAGCTTTCCACACAGTGAAGATTTAAAAAAAAAAATCCTGCCTGCAGATATGTATAACTCACAGCCTAGGATCTGCTTTGTAGATTAATATAACCTTCAAGGAGTCTGTTTACAAGAATCTCCTCTGAAAAAACGTCAGCATAGGACCTGTAATATTATCACCAGAAAAATGTCAGCTCCTGTAAAAAAATTCTTCCTCTTCCTTGGGTGATAAAATTAGGTACTTCCACAAGAAAATTCAGTAGATGGAGTTCTACAGATATTTCCCTTAATTTCTCATATTATCTTTGCAATTATATTGGTGTTCTTGTATTCAAAAATAGTATCAACTAAATGTTTAATGATAGTGGTTTGCTCCCCTTCCACTGAAGAAAGATGGCAGTCTGTTTAAAGGTGCTATGTTGCCTGTCATTCCATTTCAAAAATGAGCTTTTTTTAGACATGACTTTTAAAAAATGTTAGCTATACTATTTTTAGAAAATAATTTGTGAAGTGATATGAGTGTTGGAAGGTTTTTTTGCAACATCAAAGCAAATATCTCTGGTAGAGGCAAAGTAAGACCTAAAGGTAATGGCAACTTTCTGCTGGATTGGATTTTATGTGCAATGTAACTTCTGAGGCCCACCTCTAAAAATCAATTTTGCTGCAGTTAGACTTTTCCTCTAGATCAGACATTTGTAACAGTTCAGTATCCATCCATCTCTTGCCTCTTTGGCCTTGTGAAGGTAACAAATGGAATTCTGTTTGGCTGCGTCTGGAAAAGATGAGCAGCGATTTGGGTTCTTTCATATCTGTAAGAAGAAGCTGAGCACTGGAATAATTGACCTGTCAAGAAGCAGGCAAGGTGTTCTCCACAAGCCAGCAGCAAGGGAAATGAGAAAACTGTTTTAAAAATGTTATTTTTCAATGTGATCTGTTTAATAACTGCAGCAGTGTCAGACGAGTGGCTTAGTTTATATCACGGTGCCAGCTTACAGAGTGATTTTATCAGATAGAGGAAGCTGAACTGCTACATTCTAACATGTGTACACACATACAGTGGGAGCTAAATCAAAGATTTTATTTTATAATTTTCACTATTTCTTTCATAGCTTCTCTAGAGACAGATAATTTTTTTTTCTCAGTTGCATCCACTGTTAAATGTCCTTTGGAATAGCATTATGGAGTAGTACTTGCCCTGCATCTTGTTTGTCACCACAAAAATATGACAGCAATGGAAGTCCCCTTAGCTTTTATCAGCTGCTCCCTGTCAGATTCTGCTCACTTTAATGCAGCTCTTAAAATGATATTTCCACAGCTGAATTCATTAGCTGCAATTTTAATTTTACTTTAAATTTTTCCTATGTCCTCAAAAAACCTCAAAAACACCAACACACCCTGGTAGAATATTAACTAGAATGTTCATGCAGTTTAAATGTAAAGACAAATGAATACAGTATGGGGTTTTTTTAAAATTTTAGAGTATGCTATTCATTTTACATTTCTTTTGCATTCACACTCCCTTTTCCCCCCAGGTATGCATATATAAGACGTATTTCTGAATGCCCTTTTTGTTTTAGTAGGGAAAGTAAATATGTTTGAGCGAGTTGTTCCATTGTACTTAAAACCAGAAAGAGTTATGCAGCATTAAGCTTTGCCATTTTTATGATTATTATTTTCATGTAAAATATTCTAATTAATATCACACCCATACGTTTTTTCACGGTTTTATTGTTATTGAATAACTTGAAGACTTTTAAAATGCTAATTTTTCACTGTGTGGCAAATTATTTCACTTGCCATAAAATACACAAGGCAACTATTTATTTCACCAATTTTGTGCTTTGCACGATTGCAAGGAGTAGCCCAAGGCAACCTTTCCATGCTTCACTCGAGCTGGCTGAGAGTCAAATTGTCCACAATTCAGCTCCATTTCTCCCCTCCAGTTCCCTGTTTCTCTGCACCAGGCAAGGTCACAAGGACTCTACCAAGCATTATTAGCTTTGCAGCTGAACCAGCATCTGAAAATGTAGTTGTCGAAATGTGAAGCCTCCCAGGACTGTAATATGTGTTTCATTTTTCATCTAAAATATTTTTATTTCTGCTGTAGTCCTGTGTGGTTCCTTGTCCTCACCTCTGATACCCTAGTTTGAAGCTGTGTGATTCCTGCAGCAGAGCACTCCAATTTTTCAGGGTTATCAGGGTAAAGGTTTGAGCTCGGCTCCATGAGCCTGTGCCAGGTCAAGTGCTGAGGAGCTTCCAGTGAGGGAACACAGCCAGCCTCAAAGAAGCTGTGGAGAACAATAGAAATATCTGAATTGGCTCAGGAGGCTTGAACACTTCTGATATCTGTAGCTGTGCTTCTTTGTGTTAAACATGCCAGACTTCAATACAAAGATGCCAGGGGCTCTTGGCTTTTCTGGGAAGCACGGTCCAGAATGGACCATGGATATCTGTTAAGGATAAGACTAGAGTTGTGTTGCCATGAAGTTTAGCAGTAGAGAAGTCACTCTGGCCAGGGGGCTGGAGTCAGGGAGCCTTAACACATGATATGAGATGCCTCAAACCACGTTGTTATGTAGGGTTTAAGTTGGGCCAGAAGAGTAATAAACATTTTAGGTTCTGATATGACATCTACCATAAGTTTTTAAAATCAACTTTCATATTTCCTATTAAATATTTTAAGATCAGATTAAAAGCAATGAAAAATACGTGGAAGACAAATTCCACAAGCATTAAAGAAAAAGACACCTTCCTAGAACAGAAGGTGTCTGAGCAACAGCCTCCTGTGAACTGGAAAATTGTGCAATTGTCCTGGAGAGGTATCACTTTATTAGAACTTTATTAGTTCTCACTTTTCTGGCCTCTTTCTATTAGTTTCATTGAAGACTGAGTAGGTGCACTGGGAGAGATGGAATAAATAAATTCTAGGACCAGTTCCAAGCAGCTGCTATCCATCAGCTCTTCCCCCCAGGGACTATACCTTAATATAATACAGCCAACCTCGGTGGCCTCGCTTGCCACTGTGGTGGAGTTTCAACACTTGCCTGGGAGCAAGGGAAGGATGAGGGGGGCTGCAAGAAGTTTTAGGTGGCTGAGCAGAGCCATATTGACAGTCCTCTGTCCTGGCAGCCACAGCCATGCTAGGAGAGCCCAGTATGGATGTGATAAATGCTCACAGAGGAGAGCTTTCCATAGCAGAGCTCCTGCACCATTTCCCTGAGCCAACAGAAACACCCTGCTGCTGGTGTAGCTGCAAGAGGGGCTTTGTCAGCATAGCTGTGGTCACTAATAACTATGTTTTCAAATTTTTTTTGGTGTTTCTAGACAACAAGCAGGGCTCGCAAGCAAAGCAGTTGTCTTGTAAAATTGGCCTCGATGTGCAATGACCAGCCAAACAGCTGTGAATGGTTGAACTCAACATGACTCTGAAGAGAAAGCAATTTGCCTAGGGGCAGAAAAGGACAGAAGTATATACGTGACCTAACTTAGCACCTGCTCTATTCACTGGTTTTTGATGTAAAGCCATGAACATTTTAAGCCTTCTCCAGTTGGGACATGCAGTTCTGTGTTTAAACCTGTATTGTCTTCCTGGAGAGCAAACAAAAAAGGATAATTAAATGTTGGCTGCTCACATCATTATTAGACCATGTAAAACTAGAAGAGCCAAGCATCTTTCAGGCCAGGTGAAGCAGCCTCACATGTGACTTAGTTGATACATCCGTAGTTATTCATGCATATTATGGAAAACAAAAGCAAATGTGAGAGCAATTCCAATGCAAACTTAAGAAATGCCAAATATGAATAAATGAGGAGTGATTGGTATTGATTCTCCATTGCCACAAATTCCACATTGTCATTCAGTGCTTCTCTTCAGGAAGGCATTTTCCTGCATTGTCAGTGCCTGACATAAGTGCATCCCTAGGAGTGTGAGTTTTCTATACTGCCTGCTTGATCTTGCACTGCTTCAGCAAAATACATGTCCTAGCTAATGGATTAATGCCTTGCTTCTGTTTGCTCTCTCTCCTTGGTGTAGCTCCAAGTGCTCCTCCTCAGTCTGTCACTGTCCTGACAGTTGGAAATCACAACAGCACAAGCATCAGCATCTCCTGGGATCCTCCCCCTCCAGATCACCAAAACGGAGTCATCCAGGAGTACAAGGTACACACCATGGCTGATGGGAGGGCTGTGTGTTTAGGAAAACAGCCTGCTTGGATTACAGAACAATAGCACTGTTTATGGGTTTAGAGTCTGACAGCATTTACAGCTGCCCATGTAATTATACGGAGAAAGAGGACTGACTGCTTATGGATTTCTTTATTATTGTTATCATTATTATTACTACTGTTATTTTAAAAAGCAAAAACACCATGAGATTGATATGAAAGAGAGCTATAATTTCTAGCCAGTTTACAGTTATTATCCTTCTAGCTTTTCCCTGCTGTGGAACAAGAAGAGGAAGGGATATTTTTTGTAAGGGGCTTCTGCACTCCAAAGGCAGGCAGTGAAGTCCCTGTGTTGGAGTACCTTCAATCTGTCAGCAAAGCTGGCAGGAAAGTTGCTTCTTATTTCCTCTGCAAAAATGCTAATCCTAACACTTCAAGGTCAAAGGCAAGGACTGTGGTTCTGGGAGAATTAAAGACTTTTTCTAAGTACTATCTCTGTCAATATTCATAACTTAGAGTGCCAGGTTGTTTGCTCTGAAAAACAGGTTGAACACAGCTAGTATATCCAAAGTTTGCTTCATGAGAGTTTCTTGCATTGGTTGTTTTTTCTTCCTTTTTGTTGCTATGATGGCTCAAAATATCCACTCCTTATACATTAAATGTTGCTTTAGCCTATAATTTCATACTAAGATCACTTTTGTACAAGGATATTTTCACAACATTAAAAAAAATGCACTCTGTTAGTCAGGTGGAGAAAATGATTGGGCGAGGTTCAGCCTTGTCGCAGCATGGAGCACAATTTGGTAAATTAACCTTGCTGTGGCTGGCCTATATGCACCAAATGTGAAATGTTTAATTGAAATGGATCAGGGCAGCTTTCTTGACAGTCCCACAAAGGATGGAAGAGGTGACTGCAGCTTGTTTCACAGAAAAAGATTTTTTTTCCCTGCTGTATATTGAGGGGGCACAGCATGAAGAAGGGAGAAAGTGCTTGGCTTCTAAATCAGATAAAGGTTCAATCTCTTCCAGCTTTTAACTTGGTCAGAGGGATGCAGTAAATGGTCACAATGTTTATGTGTAGCATAGCACTTCTTTTGTTTTGCTTTTAGTCAATATCAAGATTTATTAATCCCAGGATTTTATTGATCTAATTTTCATATCAATTAATAATTATCCTTTGGCTTAATTAATCTTGATCCTGACTCCAGTCTAAGTCAATATAAACCATCCAGGGCTTATAGGCAAATGAGTAAAGCACGCTCCTAAACTACAAAACATGTAGATATGGAACAAAGTGGGCTGATGTCTAATAAAAGCCATGTTCCAGGTGAGTGCTCAGGCCTCTGGGCTGTGTATAAAACCAGCTGGAGTCACTGCCTATTACAGCCCTCCTGTGTTAGATTAGCTGGTGCCTGAGTAGTGAGCTGGCTACAGTGAATGGTGCAGGGAGCCTAATATTTGCTTGAGTATGAAATAATTGCTGAAGTTCCTCAGTGCATTTTCTAACAAATTGAAAGTAGATCTGTTGATTCCACTTCAAGTATCAGAATGCCTGTTAATTTATTCATCAATTAAATGCTTTTAATTAGGGGCAGCTCATAGCTATTGTAACCTAAGACCAGGACAGACAAGGAGTGAAGGAATGAATGCAACAGTTACTCACCTTAATGCATTCTGGCTGGCAAACAGGATCTCACCTTAGGTTTAGGAAAACAAGATAATTTTTTTTCCTCTTCAAATCTTTCTCAGCATTTCACAGAAAAAATAGATAAGGTGTGGTAAAACACTGAGCAGGGTCAAAGTAAGTGTAAAGATGTTATTGCTGTTGTTTAGATGCACTAATTTGTCACTGATAATGGTTCCACCAATAGTGTTTTCTTCTGCTGTTATTTTTATGTAAGCGTACCTGTGATATATTTATGCATTGATATTCTTGTGCAATAGTAGATGCTTTCTTTAGTAAAACAGAAGCAGTATTTGCAGATAGCATCAACTGAAGAAACATGCCTAGAAGTTAGTTTCGAAATCTCTTGGGAGAATCCTATAAAAACTGCAAGAGGGAGACATAGCACTCTGAACTCATAGACTGTGCTCATCACAAAATGCCAGTTGTGATTATAGGATGGATTTTCTGTTTAATTAGATAATATTTGAGTGAGAAACTGATGTGTGAATTCCTAAATAATGTAACTAATCACAAAGGTAGTGGTAAATATGAGTCTGTGCTTATTCCATTTCAGAAATTTCAAGTATCCCTCTTGTGCAATGAAAGGAAGTTGAAAAAGTTTTTGAAAATTGTTTTTTCCTTAGTGCTTTAAGAAGTGTTTCAACCTGTGCTCATATCCTTTTGCTATTCAGCAGGAAATTTAGAAGGAAAAAAATATGGGTTTTTTTTACACAAAAGGTTTGATAAACAAGATTTTGATTAATGTATAACACGTCTTTGCCACTTGGATGATCTGGTCTGTGCTTCTAAGAAGTGTAAGCATAAAATTTGCACTCCATGGAGAGCCAGAGTCCAGAGAGGTATTTGCAAGCAGTCTTTGCAGCTGCCTTGGTCCTGTACTAATCTGGGATACCTTGCTGAGCTAAATCATCCCAATTTCAGCAATTCCTGGACAGTAAGATTGTTAAGAAGTCCCAAATAAGCGATTGCTGTGAAATAGCTTGATATGTCGTACCTATTTGCGATTGTGTGAGTGTGAAGAATTTCATCTCTTTTAACACATCAACTTTTGTCCCAGATCTGGTGCCTAGGTAATGAGACTCGATTTCATATCAACAAAACAGTAGATGCAGCCATTCGGTCTGTAGTAATAGGTGGCCTATATCCAGGTATCCAGTACCGCGTGGAAGTTGCTGCAAGCACCAGTGCAGGTGTGGGAGTAAAAAGTGACCCACAACCCATAATAATAGGTAAGTTATTGTCTGTTCTGTTGTTTTGTTTTGCCTGGGCTTTTTTTGTGGATTTTTTGGGGTTTTTTTCTCTCAGAAATACTTTCATACATCACTTCTGGAAGCGTAAAAATCTGTGGAGGAAAAGACGAGGTTTGGCTAGGGCTGGTTAGTTGCTTTTACATCCCACTGCCTGATGATGTTTTCTTCTCTTCCTGCACACAGTGAAGGGAAGTATGTTCCCAAGATATATGAGAAAGTGAAACTGATTTAATGTTTTGGAGTTTTTTTAAATGAATTTACCACTTCTGGAGGTTGGCAGATGCATGGAGCCCAAGCTCCCTTTTCCTTCTGTTAAGATGGCTGGAATATTGCCTTACTCATTCCACTATTTACCATTGTTTTCTGAATATCTAAAGTCAGTGTTTCTCAGGTATCCCAAGACAAGCCTCCTCTGTCAAAGCAAAAGTTGTTTTTAAACCAATTAGAAAGCAAAGGTAACATTATCATCCAGCCTTTTAATAGTTGTTTCTTGGTAGTGGTCTCCATGCAGAACTAATTTCCTGACCTGAGGGAAACACAGGTTTTGTTTCTTCTGAAATTTTTCCTGAGTATAAAATATAAAGATGGGAACAATATGGAAGACTAGAAGTAATTATGTTTAGCAAACCTGAAATGAGCTGTGCAAAGCAGAACCTCTTTTTAGTGCACAATGTAGGAATTTTGTTGCCTTTATCTGTATGATCTAACTTAGTTATTACTTAATGAACATTTGTTTGTTTGTTTATTTGGGGGACTTCTGTTGTTATTAAATATTTTCTTTCTAGAAAATGTTTTTAATACACTGTCCCAAACATGGACTAGTCTATTATGTGTAGACCCTTGGAAAAGGCCATCTCATAAGCTTTGCTTAAATGTTTACTGATATTCAGATTCTTTATTCATCAAAACAGAAGCTAGGATACTTCACCTTTGAAGTCTCACTGGAGACAGAAATACAAAAGTGGAAGTGAAGGTAGCACTTGGTTTAGAAAAGGCAGCCACAGAAACACCAAAGGGAAAAAAAGATACCCAGAAGTGAAAACAAAAAATTGATATTTGAAAATGCAGGAAACCCAGGACCTTTTTAAAAAATTATTTCACTAAGGGGTCCATCTAACTAGGCACAAAATACACTGCACTTATTCCAGCAAAGCACAGTAAGTGTATCGCATTTCAAGTACATGGGTAGCCTTGTGTCACTTAATGTGTTGTGAGTTATACTTGCACCAAAGGTCTTTGCTGGATGATTCCCAGAATTCTTAGTGATATTTATTTGTTCCTTAAATGATCACAGAATGTCTGCTTCAATAAGTTTGTTTGGTGACATCTTTGCACATTTGAGAGTCATTTGCATGAAAACTAACAGGGAATAGTTTCTGTTTGAGTTATGTTTCTGTTGTCATTTCTGGGGGTTTTTTGGAACCTGAAGCTGGACGTGTTTATTACATATATAGTCTGTATCTCCCTTCTCTTTAGGCCCAATTTTGCTATTGATTATGAATTGCTAGCAGTTATTTCTCAGACTGTAAATTTCCTTGATGAATGTAACAATGTTTAGGTGATACCATTTCTGAAAAACCTGAGTTGGCACCATTCAATGTTTGAATGGGAATCAAAATCATAAAATATGAAAATTATTTTTAAAGTAAATTTAAAAAAAATTAGTTACATGGATTTAGAATGAGCTAATGAATAAACCTCAAAACATCATAATGAATGGGACAGCAATATTGAGTTATTATAACAGAGTTCTATATGGTCTGGTGCTTATCTATACCATTTAACAACTTGGAAGCAGAATGAAGAGCTCCAGAAATGCTGAATTATGGAGAGAACAGGTTAGTGTTGCAGGAGAGTTAAGATGTATTTCTAAGCAGTAAAAACTTTTAATAGTCATGAAATACAGAGTACAGTGTATAAAAAGAGGTGTTATTTTTAAATACAGGATTCATACTTCTAAAAATGTTTCAGGCCTTTTTTTCTGAAAATAACTGGTTTTCATGGTGGATAATCAACTACTGACCTCCCAGAGTAATTTTAGATAACAGACCTGTGACAATCCAGAAAGCAAAAAAAGGAGAATAGGAAGCAGTAGGAAGTATATGATCCCTTTAGTTAGAAATTGTCTCACAGGAATCTTGTGCCCATGCTTGAAGCAGGATGTTGAAAAATTTTACGGAAGACTCAAAGAGAATCAAGAATAAAACTTTTCTGATCACTAATGATATGCTAAAAACATTCATTTGGAAAACCAGAAGTAAAATTGGAATAAGGGCAATGCTGGTTAATGCTGTAGCTATTATTTCTCCTCATCAGTTGGCCTGGTCCCTCTTACATTCCATCATTGCCATAATGATATGAGGAACAGCTGCAAACTTTCACAGTAATAGGTACAATCGAATCTGATGTGTCTAATTAATTTTTGGTCCGACAAATTAGTTTTGTTCTTCATTACTCTCCAATGGGAGGAAGACATTATATTTCATTATGGTTTTGTCTTCAGGAACAATGGAGCGTTGCAGGTCGCACACTTCCCTTGTCCATGTTCTAATTAGTTGAACTGACAGCATTGTTACAGAACCACCTGCAGTACATGAAATAGTGCACTGGTACCTTGCATGACATATTTATTACTTCTGCTGAAATATTATATGAAGAAGTACAAGACTAATGCTGTTTGTTTCCCCAACCCCCAACAATTATATTAATTTTATCAAAAGTTAGTGGGTAGCATTCATCTGTCTCCATTTATTCTTCCATCATCAAATTCACAAAGCATATGTTATTTTGACATTTAAAGGAATTATTACTTCTGCAGTTGTAATTGCTAGGCACAGAAGGGTAAGAGCAGACAGCCAGACTGCAAACTTTAGAAGGTAATTTGGAGACAGATTGTATCTTCCCCTAGAAGAGAGGCAAAGCATACAATCCACTGAAACCTCCGACCAGGCATTTTGCAGTTTGCTCTCACATCCTCCCTTTTCAAAGGACTGTTTTCTGGTCTTAGAGAAGACAGGATCCTCAGATGTTTTTGGAGGCTCTAGTGAAAAGAACTCATTCTTGAATCCAGGAGCATCCAATCCCAAAGCTGGTGTCAGCAGCACTTCCCTGCCTTGGTAGCACGGCTGTGTCTGAAGCAGTGCCAAGCCTACCTGTTTCCTCATTGTCCCACTACTTTGACCTCTCCTCCAAAGGGCACAGAAATTAACTGCAAGTTAATGGTAATTAGAGCAACTCCAACTCCCATGCTGATTTCTACTAGAAAATTGATTTTGTGTCTGGAAGAGCATGCCATGGAGAGCCCCTTTCTATTAGTTTTACTGTCAGCCCTTCCTCTTTCAGCACTGGGGTGCTCCTAGGGATTGGTTCCATGGGCAGAAAACAACATGGAAAATGAGATAAAGGAGCCACTGCTGCCTGCTTTCTTTCCTTGCCACAGCTGCTCAGTGAGTTTCATTCTCACTTATTGAATCAGGCCTGGAAGCCATTGGGCCTTTGGCAGTGGCAAGACAAAAGATGCAAGCATGGCAAAGGACAGCTTCAGCTCCCAGAGCCTGATGCTGGAAAAGCTTCCCAGCATGGCCAGTACAGACTGGTGCAGGACACCTGTACTGGTGCACTTCTTGTACATCTGGCAGCATTTTTCTGTGGGACCTATTCTGCTTGCTGGGAGCCTGTTTTGCTCCTTGCCCAGAGTGACTGAAAGCAAGCCAGGCTCAAGCACAGCTTCCACAGTCTGATTGCCAAAGCACACAGTCATCAGCACTAAATATTGCTGTGGTGCTGAAAGAGAGGAAGCCTATTAAACTCATCAGCAGTGTGATAGCAATGGCATTCAGGACACTGCATTTCTCCCTGATTAACCCAGCCCAGCTCTGAGGGCCTGAAGCTGCATCTTGGCAGGGGCAGTCCCAGAGGGTCCTTCTCAAAGGATCCCCTTCTATAAAACATGGCTCTGTGAAATCTGGGTCACCTGCAAAGAGGTGTCTGTGGAAATGGGGCTGGAAGTGTCAGACTTCTCAGATCTGCTCCAGCCAGCGACCCTGAGTGCTGCCTTCAGGCTGGAGCCAGCGAGCTGCTCTGCTGGAAGAAGTAAATCTAAGCATTGCTGAATTATAGAAAAGGAATATGTGCATTTTCACAGCATGGTTCAGTGATACAATACTTCTAATAATTTCCTCCAAGTGACCATTTCAGTGTTTTACTGCAATGTTCAACTACATTTATGTGTGTGATAGACTCTCATAATTGAGAATCATATTGTTTACATCTTCTTTGTCTCAATAGAGTAGCTACTCCTGCAGCTCTTCAGCGTGCATGCAGGCATCTGGTAATATTGCATAAACATTTCAAGGATTGAGCTATATAAATGCTTTTACTGGAAATGGTGGCTAATCTTTCATGAATTTCAAAACTGCAGATGTGGGCAGTTTATATAAAATACGCATAGAATAAAATTCAGGGTTTTTTTTTAGAAAAATATGTTCTGCATTTCCTAATTTTAAAAGTAACTATTTTTGACAATTTGAAACTGCTGGCCCTGGATCTATATGCTTTAGCATTTCCTGGATTTCCATTCAGATTTTTATGAGCATTTGTTTTCAAGCTAAATGCCAAGCTTTTCCTTTTAGAAAAGTTCCCTTTTAGAGAAAGAGGGGCAAAAAACCAATGGGAACATCTACTGGAATTTGCAGGTTTCTGCTGTAATATACAATTTAAGATCCTATATAGTATTTTTTTGATGCATGTCACTTTAATTGGTACTCCAAGTAATAATTATTTCTTGCAGGTTGATATTAAGAATTTGCATGCATATTCTAGGTGGAAAAAAAAGCATCTGTTGCTGTGATTGTTCAGTGCTTACAGTTAACTGTGTCAAAGATGGTACACTTAGAATTTTTATGAACCGCTTTCCCCTTGAAATAATTGCTGGAAAATACATCCTTGTCCCAGTGGAAAGTGCATTTATTTTATTGTTCATTTCAAATTTGGAAGCTAGCATTCAGGGAAAAAAAATGAGTTGAGTAAGAATTTTTAGCCTTCTTCTAATGTAGCATATTTTGTATCTGGGTTACTCATTTGGAAAAAACTATTTATTGATTGCTTGATTTATTTTTTTATTAGTTTCCTGTAATCCATTTTCTCATTATTGAATTCTGTCTACAAACATGGAAAAACAAACTAACAAATATGTATATTGTTAAAAAAAAAGCTCTGGATTGGCATCTGTTAGATTACTTGGGAGTGTCCTATGGGTCTGTCTTTGCAAATATATATCTGCAAAATGGCTATGGATTTACTCTAGAAACACTGAGATTGTGGTGTGCATTGCTACTTCCTAAAGTTCTTCTGCTGAAGGGGATTCTTTTGAGATCCCTTACTATTTTTTAGAAACCTTTAATTTGTGTGTTTAATTTGTTCCACTGTGCGTTGCAGAATCCACAACAACCACATTCTGTTCAATTTCTCTTGTGCAGGAGGTCGTAACGAAGTTGTCATCACTGAAAATAACAACAGCATAACTGAGCAAATCACTGATGTGGTGAAGCAGCCTGCCTTCATAGCTGGCATTGGTGGTGCCTGTTGGGTCATCCTCATGGGTTTCAGCATCTGGCTCTACTGGAGGAGAAAGAAGAGGAAGGGGCTCAGCAATTATGCTGGTAAGAGCAGTGACTTTATTGCCATCTCAGCAGGTGCTAGCATAAAAAGAACAGGGGCTACTAAACCTACCTAAAAACCACATTGAACTTACAGCAAAAGTGTCCTGGATGAATTCTGTATGCTCGTTTTAAATGTATGCTGTGAAATTGCTGGTGTATGAGAAGCTTTAAATGCATCGCTCGGTACCACATTCCATCATTATCATAAGGCAGTATTTTTACATCTCCAGCACATCTAGCATTAAAAAAGTACAAAGAGGATTAGCTGCTCCTCTTGCCCCTTGCTCAGAAGACACTCTGTTGACAGTGCAGCATCATTTGTGTGTTCAAATCTGGGTTAGACTAGTCCCTTACAAGGAAAGTTAAAGAGTTTTTGTCTTCTTCTTTCCTGTGCATTTCCAGGTCTCTGAAGCCATGTGCATGGCAAATAAATGAAGGTATTTAATCAGTGACTTCATACCTGTAGCTGGAAGAGTGATGTATTAGATAGGGAAGTGTTGTCAAAATTTACCTAAGGCAGAAGCCATAAACAGTTTTGTCTCGGAGGCAGAACATCTTTGAATGTTCTCTTTCATTTAATATTTGTTCCCGTTATAAATTAGTTTTCAAAACCTACATTTTTAAAATTAAATACTCTTGCCAAATGAAATATTTTCATCTTTCCCCAACATTTGTTTTGCATATTATTCTGTTTTCAGGATTCTTATGGATTTTTGGGAAGTCAGGTGATGTGTCATAAAATGGGTTACTGTGAAGCCTAACACACAAAAACCCCAATTCTTCAAATATTGCAGCAGATTCTCTTGCAGTTCTCATTAACACTTAAAAAGATAAAATATTTGCCCAGTTCAAAACAGAACGTATTTAATGTTGACATTATATCACATGTAAGTTACACAAGTGCCCTTCCATTTACAAGTCATCAAATGTGAAACCAAGGGCTCAGGTTCTCTAAATGGCTGAGCAACAACTTGCCAAAAACCAACAATCAGTCACAGCCAAATTGTTCCCAGTTCAGCTCTGCCACAGTCAGACTCCTCGGTGTTCTGACTGGGCTCACTAAACCAGCAGGAAACTATTCCATGTTGGTTTTCAGTCCTTCCTGCTGCATTTGTTTTCCACTGGCTTTGTGAAAGGACAAGAAGGGGAGCAGTGGAAAGAGAGGAAGGAGAGACCAGTGGCTTTTGGTCCTTCTTGGTTTTTGTGGAACCTGACTTTGTGTCACCACATGATCTCTGTCATTCATAGGTTATGCTTTGTTCTAAGGTGTTGTTTTTTTTTTCTTTCATTTAATGGCAGCAACTTCTACTCTCTGAGAGGTGGGGTGGTTTTCACTGAGAAATTAATATACATCTCAAACAATTATACATGAAATATTGTTCTAGATCCCAAGATTTTTTCATTCTAGAGACAGCTGTGCTGTTATTTCTCGTAGGAAGTAGTCCTACCTAAAGCTTTGGACACAAGCTGAGACTAGACTTTTCTTAAAAAGGAGGATTATTAGTCGTGTATGTGAGTTGGCATATTGGGATGAGGGAGAATTGAGAGCAGTCTGTTATAACTTGGAGAGCATAGCTGTAAATAATTATGAACAGTATGTCTCGTGCAACTCATTCCTTCTCACGGCGTTTGCTGCATCTCAGTGTGATGTGAACGTTGATTGCATCATGAAATTGTGGATAACAGATCATGCTTCAGAGCTCATCCTAATGTTTACAGCTTGGAGTACAGCATGTCCTCACAGAGAGTCTTCAAATGTGACTGTCAAACTTCACTGCTCATCTTTCCAACCATCATTTCTCATTGGCTGCTGGCTGGTTGGTGCTTTAAGCTCAGCTCTTATGTCCTGCTTATGATATTCAACCCCACCTGAGTGATTTCCAGAGGAAACTCGTGCCCTGCAACTGGCTCTTTGTGTCAGGGTGTGTAACTCACAATGTGTTTGCTTTCTTGTTTTGCAGTTCAGTCCTTCACCTTCACCCCTGCAGGTACTGTCCATTAGTCTGTCTCTTACCTCACCGACACACCATTTCAAGCGTTAGCTGTCAAAGTGTTTATGAACATGTGAGATATGAGAAATTAAAACCAAACACAAGGAGAAATACTCTAGCTGCCTATCTCTGATAAAAATGTAGCCTTCATTCTCCTCTGGATTCCAGGGAAAAGTAAAATCTACCACCATCAGTGTCTCTGTCACTATAAAACTGCATACTTAACTCACCTGACTTTCTGAAATGCAGGGTTGAAAGTAATTTTCAGGACCAGATGCTTGAACTAACTTAACATAAACAAGCATTATTCATGTATAACTGAATTTCGATTTTAAAGCTCAAACAGTTTAGCAGATCCAAGAAGAGAAAAGAAACTTTCTTCTACTTCAGCTCTCAATTATGTACGTTTGCCTTACTGTGAAGTGTTTAGCCCTTCAAGCAATCTAGTCACTGACTGATGCATTCATTGACTTTACAGGGTTTTTGGAATTGAAATATTTGGGTTTTTTTCTTACTACTCAGCTCAGAGCTGGTATCCTATTTTTTCTTATCTTTAAAAAGATAGCATGCAATAGACTATTACAAGCATGATTAAAATATGTGAAGGATAAATGAAGAGTGGCTGAAGCAGCAGGTTGCAAACACTTTATTCAACATATGAAGTCAAGAAAAATAGAGTATACAATTAAAAATAATAATTCCTACAAACAATTTGTTTCTGCTCTCATACCTAATCTCAAGATGTAGAAACTCAAAAATAGTTGCACCTCAGCATTACAGCAAGGAATGTAAGGATGATAAATTTAAAGGATGGTAAATCTTGGTGTTTTCCAGCAGAAGCCTGTCAAGTTTTTTGGGTGTAGCTTGGCCCCTCAGTTGCCTTTATCTCCTCATGCTCAGTAGCTGCTTTCTCTCTCTTGCTTGTCTTCAGCCACAGCTTGTGCTCAGCTTAGCAGGACAGAGCAGATGACCAAGGTGATGCTGTGTGCCCCAGGAGCCCATGACATTCTGAGGGAGAAATGTCCCTGTGGAAAAGCTCTGGGGGCTCAGGATTGTTCCCCTGGCTTCCAGGCAGGTTTGGTCAGGTTACTGTAAGCTATGGCACAACACATCCCACTCTTAAGACATTGCTGCCTTTTCTTTGACACACAACATAGGGTTCTTTCCAAAACTAAATACATCTTTGCATTTGGTTCTGAATACATCTTTGCATTTGGTTCCTATGACTGTGCCTCTGTCAGCTGTCTTGAACTGTGGTGCATTTTTGCTGTTCTGTTTGTGGCATGCATTGGCATGACATGGGGCTGTGCTGGAGCCACAGGGTCTGAGCATGATTTCATGCTGCTGCTCCACATCTGCTGGGCAACTGGGATATATCAGAGGTACTGCCAAAAATGTTCCTTTTAAAAGCAGTTTTGACATCTTGTGGACTTTTTAGAACTATTCTGTTTCCTGGCTTGTACTAACTTCTGGAGGAATTGAGGACCTAAATCCTCCAGTAATCGAGTCCAAATTTTTTTTTTAATTTAAAGAAGTACTTTCCTTATGGAAGAACATGGTGCATGTTTCCTATCTTTAGACTCCGAGGTCCATAAAAAACTTTGATAATTCTCTACTATTTGAATTTGCCTTTGATAATATTGTTGAGAAAAACATGGTTATGCTTGTGGAGGTTTGACACTCACAACTGTATGTTGTTCCCTTCAAAAGTTTATGGTTTATAAATAGTTTGGGTTTAGATACAATTATTTAGACAGTGGTGTGTAGCTTTCAGAATCTCCTCAGAGACAGCTGTCAGTGAATTTTTACTAAAGATGAATTTATACTAATATACTTAGATTTAGAAGGTACACATTTTTTGTTCTGACATCTGCTTTAAATTCTTCCTTCCGAGAGTTTCAGAACACACAGATTTAACTGTGTGGTAGGGAATTGAATCTATTAATGTAACAATTATATACTTACTTCATTTCACACTCAGGAAAAAATCCTGTTATTTCTGATGTGAATATTTTTTGTTTTATTTTTCTTCATTTGTGTTTGCCTGTGTGTAGAACATAGAACACTGACAATAGTTGTTTAAAAGTCCAAATCCATGCAGCTTTTAAATTACTTGCTAAAAATGGTTTTTTTGGGTCATTTGCAGATTATGGGTCATTCACTAGGACCACTTGTTATTTGTATTCTGTTATTAGGCTCCTGAGATGTACAATTTCTGCTTTGAGACTATACCACTGGAACATGTGTGGGAGAAGTGCAAACAGCAAATGTCAGGCAGTTTGTAAAGATTTGTGTCAGGACAGAATAACTGATCGAGTTCAATACTTTCAGCTTTCTGTCTTTGTGAATATTTTCATGAGGTCTGATCAATGGCTCAGATGGTCACAAATAAAGTGGCATTGATAATCACAGCTAAATCTTTTTAGTTATTTTCAGTTGAACTGACTCCAGTAGTTACTGAGCCACAATTCTGTACGTCACTGTTCTTCCACTTCCCTTTGCACCATGACTCACCAGGCCTTGATTCTCAGTAATATTAGTGCTATAAAATATAAAATTTAGCTAAGATTTTTGTTAGAATAGTGTTGGTAAGTAGTAGAGTCACCATCTGCAGCTGTACAAGGACATGCTTTGTGACCATGACATGCTCTCAGCAAAACCAAATCTTCCACAAGGATACTAAACACAGCTGTAATCCCTTTTCAAACATTTCTCCTGGAATATAAAGGATGGATTGGTCTCACTTTTGTGAGTTTGTGTGAAAGCTAAAGTACTGCTGCACTGTTTGGGTAGGGTATCTTTTGTGTTTGTTTGTTTGTTTGTTTGTTTGGGTTTTTTTGTTTTTTTTAATGCTTATCTTTCCCATGCCCTCAAACTTGTGCCAGTACCCACTCACCAGAGTATTCAGGTGTTTTCAAGTGTCTAGGCCATCAGTCGTGCAAAAAAAAAGTAAATATGTATTTTAACTTATGAATAGGTAAGCTTATTTAGTGACTAGTGCTTCTTGGGATTAAAGATTTTTTGAAACCCAGTAAATAGAAAATGAATTAAAAATAGATAGACAATCATGGAATGTTACACATATTATGTGCAACTCCTGAAACTGTTAAATGAGGATAAACTATGTGACAGAATCATCCAAAGGTAGACAGAAGATTTGATGGAATTTTTATGTGCTGATTATCTGTTCTGAGTTAATGCTTATTAAAAGAGGATTAATCTACATTCATATTTGAGGAACAGCTTATCAGTAAAAGGAATGAGACTTTGCTGGCAACATTAAAGTTTTCATTTGCAGTAGGAAAATGTGGCCTACTAGAGATAGGCATACAGAAAGCTTTCTAAAGCTTTCTAAAGCTTCCTTGCCTCAGAATGTCGACTTACTATACATTCATATTTTTCCAGTTCTAGCAGGCATGAAGATTAAGTTTAACCTTGTCAGATAATATTAGTAAATGGTTTTGGTACCTCCTTATGTATTTAATAAAAAGCATGTGAAAAGCTCCTTAACATATGCTGGTTTTCATACAAATATATACAATATAATTTCCTGAAATATTTATGCATTTCAAATGCACTTTGGATTATATTTCTGCATTTTTGCAGTCCTTGAAGTATAGGCTGGTGGGGATTTCTTCAAAATCTCTCAATGCAGAGGTTATTTTTTCATCTTCTTTTGAAAACCAATCTCATCCCTGCAGGTCTTCAGCCTTTCTAAGAACATGTATCAGATGCAAAGACTACTGAAAGAGCTTTTTTGCTTCCTTGGTGATAAAAAGCAAGGAAGATAGGTGGGTCAGTGATAGGGACATCCTTCCCTCCCTCCTCTTACATTGCCCCTTGAAATTGCTCTGCTGCTTTTTGAAGTGGAGACAGGATGAATAAAGCCAGCTGTCTGTGTGTTTTATTTTTACAGTGACATCTACAAGCCTGCATTGCATTAAGTATGCTCCTATTCAGGCGTTTAGACTTGTTTTGTAATTGCAGAAATCAAACTGCAGGAAAAAAATGCTGACAAAATGTATGGCAGGAATGATAAACATAGTGCTTTTTTTGGCAGCCTGACCATATCTTCTGTTGTTAGCTGTCTTGCCTTTCACAACATTGATGCTAAAAAAAGACACCTTCACTATCCAGCCTCAGGTAGCCCATTTATGGATGGCATCAGGAATATGGGGGGGTTTTGTGGCATCCCAGTGACATGGCCACACTTCAAGTAGAATTTTGGCAAGCTTAATTGATATTCCAAAGCATTTTACACCAAGCACAATTAATAAATAAAATGCTTTCTGGTTTATTTTCTCATTGAGATTATGACCATGCATACATTGGTGTACACGGTGAAGGGTAAACAAAAAAACCTGTTTTCCTCAGTCTTCCCTAGGAAAAACAATGTCACTACAAGCTGAACATTTCTTCTAAAGATGATGCATATATTGGGAGGGTATAAGATGATTTAACACAGGAAATAAAAACAAACCAAACAAAACAGGAAATAGTTCCTACCACCAGGGCACGCAGAAGAAAAAGGAGTAAATTCTGTGATCCTTGTTTTTTCTCAGCAATCTCTTGTGCCACAGCCGACCTGCAGCAATTATGGCTCTAGCAAAGAGGTTTCTATGTCATGTCTTCTTGATGAAGCTCTCATGGCATGCCTGGGAGTTTTTCCATACCCGCCTATGCAGAAAATAAAATATGTCAAGCAAACATTGCTGCTAGTAATGGCAGCATGCAATAGCATTCAATCTTCTGCTAGTTCCTCAGTTTTAGCTTTGCTTTATAAAGGTACACAGGGATATAAATATTTTGTAGACCACAAATATTATTGGTTTGGGGTTTTTTTTGTTGTTTTTTTTTTTTTTTTTTCCATATGGCATGTACATTTAAAAGCGCACACACCTGTACATGCTATATGAGTGGCAACAAAATTATCTGAAAATAATTTCTGGTAGATGACAGTCTAAACAAGAGCATTAATCCAAGCAGTTTTCAGAAAATATTGTAATTCCCTTAGATCTGTAAACTTTATTTATAAGGGTTGTTACCAAAAGAACAATCAAAGCCTTTGTTTCTCGTTTTCCTTATTTCTTGTCACTTTGGCAAATGCAGAAAGTTGGAGAAATCAGGTATTAAATTTGGAGGAGAGGAGGAGAAAGGAAACAGCAGCTAATATACTGTTGACCAAGATACTTGGAAACAAAGCCAGGCAGTCCCCACATCTTTGCATAATCACATATGATATGCACAGCACTTCAGATTATTCACTTTTAAGCAATGAGTGGAAGTCACTTGACAGCCTGTTAGATACCACGTGAATGAAAGTAGCAGTGCCTCTAAAATTAATTACCCACAATGTTTTACCCTGTCTTGTTTTTCAAAGCAGACCTTTATTTAGTACTTTCCATACTTGCATTTTGATTTTCTTTCCATTAATTGGTTTGATTACACCCTTTCAAAATTCAGCTATTAACCATTTTGATGTGACATCTGACTGCAGTGATTTTCTGATATTGGTATTAGTCTGCTGTGCAGTGAAGGGTAATTAATCGCCCCACTATTCTTCCAGCAGAGCTTCCAGAGAGGCCAGTTTTGTCCTCTTTGCTGAATGTACACTGTGAAATTACCCTAAGAGTTAATAAAGTAACGAGGATTCTATAAGGTGTCAGAAGAGTTTTCCCAGTGGCTTTATGTCATTACTTTTTTTTTTTAATGAACACAGAATTTCTATTGGCTGTAGTAATTTTGTCTGATTAGAATAGTGTGTAATCGAAAGCCTAATCCTGAGTTGGTGTAGTTTGGACTAATACTTGGAAAATCTTGCAAATACTCTGTGAGCTATAATTTACTGATGGGACCACCTGTCTTACAAAGGCAAATAGTATTTCCCAAGGAAGGTCTATTTTAAATTTAGCTGGTCACAACTCTTCCATTCCTCACTGAAATTCAAACCCTGATCCAGTCAGAGGCCTTTAAGGCTGCAGGTGTCCAGGACATTGGCATAATTTAATAGTCTGCCTTATCTATGCCTGACAATAAATAATGGGATATTGCCACTGAGAACCAGAGTAGTCTGTTGGCCTTGATTCAAAATATTTTTTCAGTGTTTCAGAAAAGATCATCAAATGTTGTCAATTAGCATCTCACCAGTAATGTGGGTTTACATATATTGCCCTGAAATGTAATCCTGTTAATAGATAGATAAGGGAGAGGCTGGTTTTTGTCAAACACCCTTGAAAGGAGAGATAAAAACAATTGTCTGCCTCTGATTATGTCCTTGGCATCCCCCATGGATGGAAGACTGGAAACACTTTTTCTTCCCAGTGGCACTGGCTTGTGTGCATTTATGTGTGGGTGCTGGTTCTTAAACTGTGCTTCTAATGGAAAAGGTGCAGCTGGATGCTTTTTTCCATCCCTTCAACTGTAATAGAGCTGCCACCTCTTTGTGTTTGTCCTGGGAAATGACATATTTGTGTGGTGACATTATATTACTGCATTACGACATGATGTTATTAACTCACTGCTGCAATGTCATTATGTACTGAAGCAGAGGCATGCCAAGAAAACAGTTTGATCACATGGCTCAGACTTGCAATGCAAAGTCCTATGAAGGGGCCTGGGGTGGATTCAGGCCTTTTGCCCAGGTGGCTGCTTTGCCTTGCAAGGTGCAGAGCAATCAGTAATGTGCTGTCAATCAGCAATGTGCAGTGAAATCCTAAATGAACTGTGGCCCCAGTGTGCTTGAGCCTCTTCTTGTCACTTCTGTACTTTATTATGGGATGATGCCAAGAGACCTCCGACCTCGGACACTGAGCAGTTTGAATTGTTACTTTTAATTATTACTAATTGATTTTTCCCTGTCTTATATGTGTGTGTGTATGTTTGTTTGTTTTGTTTTTTCCAACCAAAACACAGTCACCTTCCAAAGAGGAGATGGAGGACTAATGAGCAATGGAAGGTATGTTTCTTTGTATAAAGGTCTTTCCACTGGGTTTATTTTTAAAGTAAGGGATCTGAAAAATGCTATAGGTGATGCACTTGGGTCATAGCCCATCATTGGGAAGACTGATAGCTCTAGGAGGAGTTAAGTAGCTTACCACAAGGTTTAATGACCTATCTGCTGTGCACTTTGGAAGAAACAAGCCCAGATGTTTCATATCTCCCAGATGTCCCGGAAGAAATGAGTAGTAAATATCAAAAAGAATGTGTTCATTTGTTACTGGGATGTTTATTGCATTAATTAGACATTAGCAAATGAAGTTGCTGTTGTTTAAGACTCCTTATTGGCTCCCCCTAAATTGCTGTGAGTGAACAATTACACTTAATCGATCACAAAATAAATGATTCATGGATGATGAATAGGCTGTAGATTGATAGGACTGGATTCCACAACTTTGGCTACTCAATTGAAATTGATAAAAGCTGATAACGGGCCCATATATCCTCATCTATTTTCCCTTTGCCAATATGGAGATTGTAATTAGGCCCTGGTAATAACTTCCAATCTCCTGTTTAATCAATATTTTAGCAAAAAGAGATTAGGCCTAATGAGAGCGAGTGGATGTGGCGAGAATGCGGCTGGGCCGTCTTATTGCCGTTGCCATAGGAACGGATGTTTCTCTTAGGGATTGTTCCAGGCAGGGGTCTGGAATGCTCAGGGATGGGAGATGCTGCTCCAACTTCACCAGTGCTTTAATAACCCAGGGAAGCTTTTTGTTTTCGTGTGGCAGGAAAGGGTGACTGCAGCAAGTGATTTGTTTCCCCTGCTGAACATGAGCACAAACAATCCACCTGCCTTGCTAAATTTGGGTTTATCCTGGGGTGAGAGAGGCACGATGCCTCGTGGTCTGAGTGTGCCTCCTCTTTCCCCATGCTCCCTGTTTAACTCTGCTCTCAGAGTGGGAATTACAGGGATGTGAAAGCCATGCAGCCGTGGCGCACAGAGATAGCTGTGGACTTGCCATTAATCCTCCTCAAACCTGTGTGCCTCTAAACCATCCAAGAGTGCTCGAAGAAAGAGTTACCAGCCTGTAGATGACAGGCATGCATTTGGGATGTGAGGGAAGGAAGAAATAGTAGCCCAAAGTCCTGGAAATGGCTGATACGGAGCAATCAGTTTGAGTGATGGCTCCCTTGAGGTGGTAATTTATCATTCAGCCCTGGCATAGCATCCCGTGATGGTGCTGCCTAACTCCTGTTTCACACAGACAACGGAGTTCATTTGGATTCTGGCAGAGTCACGACGGATGCCTAGTCCCTCTTCTACTGACAAAGTTGATTTGTATATAACCTTAATTAACTGCTCAAGGTCTTTAAATCATCAAAGGCTATACAGTTGTAATTTGAAATAAATTAAAGTCTCCTAAAGTGTTAGTTACCTATGGTGTTAGAAGAACAGTAATATACCCTTTTCCATCACTACTTATCTCACAGGCACTGTAATTTTATATGTATATATTTGTGTGTATATCTCTTTTTTCTTATTCTGCTTCAGTCGACCAGGTCTGTTGAATGCCAGTGACCCCAGTTATCCTTGGCTTGCAGACTCTTGGCCTGCCACAAGTCTGCCAGTAAATAACAGCACTAGTGGACCCAATGATCTTGGGAATTTTGGTCGTGGAGGTAAGTTTCCTTTTATTATTCCATATTATAAAACAGACTTCCATTCATTGACATCTATGATGAATGCTGTATAATATTTTTATCATTATAGTTCTTATATCATTATAGTTCTGTGTGTTTCTTCCTTTCTAGATTTGATTGAAAATTGACTTTAAAATGTTCCTTTCGCTTTATCTCTTTTTGCTTTTTAAAAATGTAAGTCTGGTTTGTAATTTGTCCCACAGTGGTGAGACAGGGTCTGCTTATGGTATCAAGGGAAATCTGTTTGTGTCTCAACCTCCTTCCCTTTTTTGTGGAGATGAGCAGTGTGCCATGCAGGGCAGTGTAGCCAGGGATGGAGGATGTCCACGAGAGCAGAGGAGAGCACTGGAGATGCAGGAAAGATGTTCCTTCAGCAGAAGGACACCAGAACATTGTTGCTGTCACCTTACCCATCCTCTTCCTGCTGAGGGCCTGCTCTCAGTCCCAACCATAATCTGTGAAGAAAACCTCAAAGATTTTAAGTAACTTTCTTTTTCATTTGAGGAAAGGATATGTAAAAGGGAACTATTTAGATCTCTTAGGATTTTGTTTCCATTTTGACTTGAGAGAGCGCCTTTGAGGAGTGAGCTAAAGATGTATTGTTACAATGAGGAAGGAATCTTTAGAGGAGTTATTTCCTTTCAAACATTTATCTCAAATGGGAATTTTAAGATGTAGGATTGGTATTTTTAGAAGTCAGTAATGTTCACCTCTCTCTGTTACTTCCTTGGTTTCTGTGATAACTCAGCTAATTCTGCATGCTGGTCAGAATCTGCTTCTGAAGACCATCCATCATACTGGTTATACATTCCTATGAAAAGCCTCTTGCCTGTGGTTTGACTACTGTGACTTAAAATTACAACAAAACACACTAGATTTATATTCTGTGTAAAAATGTTGTAAAGTTCTTGTCAAAAATATTTAAGAGCAAGCAAAACTTTTGATAATATTTACAAGGCAACTGAATTTCTGCCAGCTTCTTTGTTGTGAATATCTTGAAAATAAAACCCTTCAGTACTTTTCCATCTTTTCTTAAGCCCACATAATACAGAAAAATTACAATTTTCTTTTAGTATTTCGCTCTATACAACTGAAATTGGAAGCATTAGTTTTTAATTTTTGGCTTCAATATGCATGAGGCATAGGTCCAAATTCATGCAAGAGATGCAACAGTTGCATTTTAAAATTCAGCAGCTTAATTCCACCCATGATCTTTACAGCTGAGCTGAAACTTTTTTTCTGGGTGGTTTGGGATCACTTATCCCTATCTGTTTCAGAAGCTGAGATTAGATGTTTCTGAATTAAAGATGGATTGGAAGATTTTAACATGTAGAGATGGAATATTAACTATAGAGATGGAGCTTGGGCCTCTTTTACTGGTTGAAAGGTCTCTAAGAACATAAAAGTTCTGTAAGAATTTTAAAAAAGAGTTGAGTGACATCACTCACCCTGGAAACGCAGAAGCTGAGGCAAGCAGTCCTAAAATTTCCCTTAAGAGTGAGATCCACTGTCCTAGATGGGTATTTGAGAGCAAGGCGGTGAGTGGGAAGCACAGCTGAGAGGCTTGGAGTCGTGCAAGGCACAAAATGGTGTTGCATCTCCAAGGCAGCAAGGAAGAGCTTCCCTGCACAAGTATTTCAGCACCGTTTCATTTATCTCAAAAGTCAAAAACAAAAGTTGGATTTTGGAGAATTTTGGGGAAAGTTTCCAGCGGGAAGTGCACCTTCATCTTTGGTCTGAAATGTACAGTGTGGTGTTTTTGCTATGACAGCTTGCTGGAGAAATCACGCTTGACTTTTACTCTGTGACTGGCACTTTGTAAAATCTCTGCTTAAGAGCTCTTTGAGTGCTTAAATGTATACATCTCTCTGAGGTCAAAAAAGTAATCCGTGCTTGTACTGAAAATTCCCAGAATGTCTGGAGAACCTCAGCTTATCAGTAAGGATGACTGAAAGTCCTTGGCTGGTGGGCAGCTATGCAACTTCCCTTTCAAATGTGTACACAGGAATAGTTCTCATTTTTAAATGACTGTATAGAGATGATACCTCTTCAGTTGCCAGAAATATGCACTAAAAAACAGATGTATGTCTGAGCACTTCAGTGATGAGCATTTTGCTAGTTTTTATTTCCTTGAGTCTTCAAATCCAACACAGACAGGTTGAGCTGGATTTACTTCACTTTATACATCAACAACAGAATTTATTTACTAAACTTCAAGGCATTATACTTTGATGGAACTGATTGTAAAAAGGAGAAATATTCATATTGTGGATGAAATGCAAGAAAAATAGGACTGCATTTGTCTCTCATATCTCATGCTGTATTTGCATATAGATGCATTTTTTTGTTTGTGTACTGCCCCTGGAAAACACATTGCATATATGCAGGTAGTAACAACATGATTTTTAAATATGGGCTATAGTTTGCATTAATTGTAATTTTTTTGTAATTGCAATTTATCTGCAGATATAAGTTAATACAATTAAGATCTTTTAAATACTTGATTGTGCCCATTTCCCTTCTGTATGCAAAACCAGATCATGCTGATAGTCCCAAATTTAATCTCTCTTTCTGCAGTGTCTCTGCTGAGTATTTGCTATTGCCATATTTATTTTTAATATTTTGTTGCTGCCCTGAGACTGAAGATGTTATTAGGGCCATGTTAAAATATTCATTGTAGCATACCTGAATGCAAAACAAAATAGTTTTGTGATCTAAATGTTCATCCCAGGAAAAGAAAAAAATGCTAAACCCCAAAAAACTGAAGCAAACAAAAAATACCAAATCAGTGTGAGGGGACCATGGTGTCACATCTCATTGCTGGATAAGTCTTTGAGACAGTGAGAGAACAAATATATTCCCTGAGGTTGCACAAAACCCAAATCTGAGATTGGAACTGAGCTTAAACCCTTGACTAGGTGCAAGGATCATCTTTTCTTTTTGGGGCTTAAGGTACATAAAAATGGCTGTTATCCCTAGAATAAGATCTGAACATCCTCACTATAGGAATTTGCATTATCTCAAGAATGATCTAACAGTTGGAACCTGTATCTGCCATCTGGCTGTAGAAAGAAAATGGCACATAAATGAAGGATTTTTTAAAGTACATTCTGAAATTGATTCAACTTTTCAGAGTCTAAATAAATTGTAAAAATAGTACCATTTGAGATATGGACTTCTGAAAGAGAAGGAAGGAGGGTTATCTGCTAAGCTGTGGTTCTCCTTGGGACATCATGTCAGTCATCATTAGATTCTTCGCACTTCCCTAGTCTCAGTTTCTAGAGCTAGTATTCCACCAGCAAAGGTCACTTCAGTGTTTAGTAAGGAGAGAGGCTGCCAATCTAACTGATTAAAGATACAAATTGCAGTGTGGGATAGGATTCCAAATATTGGGAAAACTCACAGATAGTTAGTTAAATGTGCTGTAATGGTTTTTGGGTAAATGTACTGGAGATTTTATACAAGTTGTTCTCCATTATAAACATTGTTTTGCCATTTTGAGAGACTGATCACCTAAATCCCTTCAAATATCAAATTTTCTTTCACATATCAGAAATAACTTTTTTTGGTCAGGTTTTTCTTTTGTTGAAAAGAAGAAATGTACTGGCTAATGTCAAAAAGAAAATTAGATAAGCTGATAGAAAAAGTTTTAAGGAAATCAAGGTGATGCCCTTAAAAAATTACTTTGAGAGTTTTCCTACATAGTTGCTGGGCAAGTTCCCTCTGTGATTTGCAAATTCTCTCCTTTCATCATTTCCCTGAAGCCCAGACAGTTTCATTGGTTCTGACATAGAGTGAACAATTGAAAACATTCTTCAGTAGAGAAATATTCCAAACTTCACTTTCACAGTTGAAAGTATGAGGAAGGAAAAAAGAAAAAAGAGATGGTTTTAGGCAGCGAGACGTGAAGGACAAGTGGTAGGGCTGTCACAGCTGCTGATAGCTTGGCCATGGTTGTACATCATCTTCCCTTCGTTGGCTCATGGGCCTGTCTCAGCTGAAATGCAAACGTGCAAAATGACGCGTTTATTTCTCGGCTTAAACCTTGGTACTCGCAGGCTTCCCGTGCCTCAGTGATTTGTTTCGTTCCACAGATGTGCTGCCACCAGTGCCAGGGCAAGGAGATAAAACTGCAACCATGCTTTCTGATGGAGCCATTTACAGCAGCATCGACTTCACCACCAAAACCAGTTACAACAGCTCCAGCCAAATAACCCAGGCTACGCCATATGCCACCACCCAGATCCTGCATTCCAACAGCATCCACGAGCTGGCCGTCGATTTACCAGACCCGCAGTGGAAAAGCTCAATTCAGCAAAAAAATGACCTCATGGGATTTGGTTACTCTCTCCCAGACCAAGGCAAAGGCAACAATGGTAATTACAGCTCTATTTTCCAGAGCCCTTGGCTTTGTGTACTGTTATCATCTGTGCATGAATTAGAAAATTCTTTTTAGCTCTGTGAGACACTGTTCATGTTGACCTGAACTAATGCCTGCACACCTTGCATGTGTGCTGAACCTCACCTGATCACCAAATACATTGCACTGTGCTTTTCATGCTCTTTGTCCTGTGCTAGTCACCAAGCCATCTGTCTTCCATTAGGCTAGGGTAGGTGTACCTTTAAAAATAACCAAGTTAAAACCTGCCCCCCAACCCCATCTGCCCCAACTCGCTAACTGCATGTGTCGCATGTGCTTGTGCTGTCGACTAATCCCACGATGCCACTGTGACCTCTGCCGTTTAACCCTTAGCCTTGCTTTACATCCCTGACTACCGGGTGGCTGAGGGACTGGCTAATAGATTGCCACACAACCAGTCACAGGATTTCAGCACCACCAGCTCCCACAACAGCTCCGAAAGGAGTGGCAGCCTCTCAGGTTGGTTCCGTCACCGTGCGCAGGGGAGCGAGGGACGGAGGGGTGTTGGCCAGCGGCTCACCAGGGAGGCAGAACACCTCCCAGGCACCAGTGGAGGATAGCCATGAGAGTTCCTGCCCATCAGCAAACAGTGCCACATAGGACTCTGCTGAAACAAAAAAGCGTTTTGCAGGACCTACTTGGAGATAACTGGAGAGTCCTTCCATGTGTGCGCTTGTCGGCGCAGCTGCCAGCCTCGCCTTGTCACATCCTTTCCCTGACACAATCTATGGAGCAAATGTATTTCTGCATCCATCCTCAGTTTATAGGTCTCCCCACACTGAACTTAATGAGGGGATTCTTATTTTTGTTAAGTTGAGTTGTTAACACATACCCCATTTCCACAAGCTGTTCCTCAGTGCACCAGGTTGGAAATAGCTGTAGGGCCCTGAAAGGTGACTGGGGTTTCAACAAATTGTGCCAAGTTTGCATACAAACAGGATGTAAATTTTATGTTTGTGCTGCATGTTCTATTGGAAACATGATGCATTTTCATCAGATGAAAATGATCATAGTACATGTGGTTGTGTGTTATATCTGAGCACACCTTGTTTCTTGATTTCTTTAATTTTGCTTACTTGTTGCTTATGTTATGTATAGTTGTCTTTTTTTCTTTCTGTCAAGACAAAAACTGAAAAGGCAACAGTTAAGATGAAAAATCTGTGTTTTCACCTGGCTAAAATATGAGAGCGCTGAAAGGACTTTTTGATATTCAGAATATATCCACAGTTTTTGAATTTCCACTTTAAGCTGGAGTAGTCCTCCCAGTAACAGACCAAACCTAGAAGTAGCTTCTTTATGTCAATTTAAATGACTATTCAAACTGAATTTTGAGATAAGAAGCCTATTATCATTGGCCCATGACTCAAATTGCCAAATGTATTTGCAAGTCTTGTGTTCTCAAGGGGTGGCATTAGCTGATTTCACTGAGACCAAAAAATAGGCTTATGGCATTGTCAGAGAGGTATCTGGAAGCTGAAATACTTCAAGAAAGCTTCTTGTTCCTTGCATGTGAGATATATTGACAAGTGGCTTAGGAAATCAGCTTGCTCCCCAGGCTGCATGAAAATGCAGAAATTGATGTACTGAGGCACATATATGTCAGGTATCAGAGGGCAGTATCACACTTTAGATATGTTGACAGCTAAGGCTGCCTAAGAATTTTCTCAGAAAATAGGAAGTGTCACTGGAAAGTGCCCTTTTTGATCAAAGGCTGGAATTTGATCAAATATTTCAAATGCAACATATTCTGCGTAGTGTTTCTCAGCCAGAAGTGAATTTTCTGATGACACTAGGGAACTTTGGGATATAGTCAGTCATATGGCCAGGGCACTCTTGTTGTGACCAAGGCAGGTCACAACTGGATGCCCCAGTGCTCAGATGAGTGCCAGATTATTGGACTGCAGAGTCAGTGTTTTGCTCTCCCTTGCCCACTAATTATGCCTTTGATACAGGATAATTATGTCTGTAATACTCAAGAAACTGGGGAAGACTTTCAAATAGTTTGATAATTAGAGCATCACTGGAGTCAGAGACCAGCTTTGATTATGTAGTCCCCATCAGGGTGAGCAGGGATTTGTTCTCTCAGTTCCTTGGTTAGTACTTTAGGTACTACTTATTATTCTGACTAAGTTTCTGCCTCTCTTACATGAATATCATGAGAATCCCTATCCCACTGTGGAATGAAAAACAGCTGAAACCTCAACTGCTTTATGAGGCAGGGAAATTTTGTAGCTATAGGTTGCACAGATTATATCTGCACTAGGATCAGCAGCCCAGCTGGCAAATACTTTCTCCAGTACCCCATTCACCTAGAGATTTAAACAATATAATTGAATTTCAGTGTGAGGAGACATTGAAGCATCAGGCTTTGTTGCTATGGGGAAACAAAGATTTGGTGCATCAGTTTTCAAACACAAATCAGGATTTATGTGTTCAGTGTCTGTCCCACCAGTCTGACAGTGGAATAACTCTGTCCATGGGGACAGAAAAGAAATATTCTGCCCAACTGCACAGTGTAGGCTGCTTTCCTCAACCATTAATGACCTTGGAGCTCTCTTCTTTCATTTCTTCATCTAAACAAGTCCCTTGTCTCTCTGCTTCACTCCTTCTAATATCTCCATTATCTCTAATTTCTCTCTTTGAGACTCCCAAAATCCAAGTGACTCCCATATTAGCAGTCCATGTGTCAACCTACATTTTACCAGTCTCCTAAGATCATCAAGATGCTGCACTTCTAAAATCTTCCTCTCCACCTCAACTAGTCTCTAAGCTGAAGTTGTTCTTTGCATTTCCCTTCTCTGTGTGTTCCTAGTTTAAATCCTCCTGTAATATAAAAATATCTGCGTGTGCTTTTCTCCTAAAGCAGCCCCTCCTGCCCTAGTTCTTGTTGGTTCCTACTCCTGCTGACTTTTAAAAAATTTCTCCATGTCCCACAAACTAAAATTAACCTACTTTCTTTGCACTGTTCAATGACCCCATTTCTAACTCCACTTCTTTAGCCTTACTTGTGCTTTGAAAGCTTCACTTTCCCTCCAGAAGGTTCATGTATTTGTTCCTCTATCTCCACTGTCCCTGGGGTTTCTTTTCACCAGTCAAAATGTTCTTTCCCTTTTCAAGAAAGCTGTCCTTTCTGCCAGGCTACAAACGGAAGGAAGAGCCTGTTTTCCATCCTAATAGAAGTAATATCAGCTCAGTTCACACATAGTGAATCACAGGATCTTGGCTGGACTTACTGTAAATACTCCAAAACAAGGAAGGAAGAGCTTTGGTCTGGAATTGAGTAGTGGAAAGTCTCGCTTCCAATGTGCTGCCAGCCAGGTCGATTAGAAATATTGCTGGGCATGTTGCCTGTCTCTAGCAGGCACAGCAGGAGGTGAAAAGAGAAGTCTTGGCTACTTCTGAGTTACAGAATCACCTTTTTCTTCCCTCTCTATTTGTCCCTGTTTTCATCCAGCTGACATTTGGAGATAACAGAAGAAAGCCTGTGAGCCACCATCTAAAGGACAAATAGTCCCATGATAGAGCCTTGTCTCTTTCGCTAGAATTGCACCTCCTTCTGTGTTTCTCTGTGCCTAAAGTTAAAGCCATGGCACAGAAGGCAGTGCCTGCCAGTGCACATTGTGCCACCCTCCCTGACCAGTCAGTTGTGGCTTTCTTGATTCATTGATTCATTTTTATGTGAGGGTTTTTTGGCTGATCCTTATAAATCATCAAGAGACATCAGTGGGTAAGATGGATTAGGCTGTGCTTTCTGCAGCAGGCCAGGGATGAGTGAGAGCAGCTGGGTACCCCACTGAAAAGGCATCTGACAAACCATTCCTGCACCCAACAAAGAGTTTGAAAGCCACAACAAAGCTCCAAAAAATAGATGAGTCCCCAGGCAGTCAAGGGATTCGAAATGTTGAGCCATTCTTGCTCTTAATGAATTCCTGACAAGAAAAAGAAGTCAGGGAAAAATAAAAGAAGCAAACCAAGTGGGATGAGAGCTTTCTCTGTAAGATCACTCTCCCACAAATGGAAGTGTCTCAGCTGGAGAAGTGGATCCAAGGACAATAAGAGCAGAGGGTTTAACCAAAATGCATTGCTCACTGCATTTCTGCCTTATCCATTAGAGCTGTATATCAGAAATAGAACCTCTTCTCCACAGTGGCACAAGACATTTGGATCCTGTGAAACAGTCAGTCCTAAAATATCACACATGACTTCCCACTCTTAAAAAAAACCCCAGAAATTAGGAAATTCCTAACAACAAAACCCTGTTTCTTTTGTTTTGACAATTTACTCTTATCTTGGAAGTTCTTGGCTACAAGGACAGTTTTTTTGGATGGTGTCCTTAACCTCCGTGTTTTCCACAGAAAGTGATTATGCAAAACTGTGCTATAATCACAGTGGATTCTGACATTTGAAATAATTTGCTATGTTTTATTATAATTTTATCTAAAAGTGAATTTAAAAAGTTATAAAGTGCACATGAATAATAAAGGAAATATATTTCTTATACAGGAAAGCCTGTCTTTCCTTATTTCTGCAGTACTCTGGTACAAATGTACAGAGGTATAAAAAGAAGTGTTTTTCAGTAAATATTCAGAATATTCCCCATTCCATTCTTCTATTACTTATAACCTCGTGACAGCATTAGCACGTTGATGCTGATTCTGCTGAGATATAAATACATCTTTTTTGGGACATGTGCTCTGGAATCAGAATTCTGTCAAAGAAATGTAAATAGCTGGCCCTTTTTTTCCACATTATAGCTCTAACATTTTAATTTTCTTTTTTGGATTTGCAGGTGGCAAAGGAGGGAAAAAGAAGAAAAACAAAAATACTGCCAAGCCCCAGAAAAATAATGGTTCAACCTGGGCCAGTGTTCCCCTGCCACCCCCTCCTGTGCAGCCACTTCCAGGCACAGAGCTGGAGCACTATGGGGTGGATCAGCAAGAAGCAGGGTAAATTTTTTTTTCTTTTTCCTTTGAAGAAAAATCTGTGATTTGCAGAAATGAGTCCTTTTCTATTTTTTTTTAAATTTTGATAAGTGACAATATTATTCTGTTTTGTTAAAAAAAAATAAAAAGAGAGAACAACTTATCCTGTAGACTGATTCAAGGCTGTGGAGGAGGAATGTTTGAATAGCTTCTCTGGATAGTGACTGAAGATGGAAACAAAAGTGACCTTGCTTCATCACCATGTAGGGCTTCAGTGCTTTCTCATGCTGAGAAGTGTCTCACTTCACAGGTAGCTTAATTGAATTCTGGGATTGCATGCAGCTGATGGGACTCAGAGTGAGTAAGGATGACATAATCTGGCTCTGTGTATTTTTTCACTGCTTTGATGTTTAAAAATATTAGAGCCAACAGAACAAAAAAAAACCCCACCAAATTGGATTAATTTTTGAAGATCAACCAATGGATAATAATCTTCTCATCGGCTTTTAGAAGAAATTTCACAGTTGAGGAAGGCATGCTAATTATAGGCTTTTTTTGTTATTATTCAAACAACTTTCAAGTTTCTGGAACCTTCAACATAATTTTGCATAGCTCAAACTTGTTCTCAAGGACACAAAATCAGACAAGAAGTGCTAAAGAGAGGAAAGAGACATTTCCTACACAGACAACAGTTACGAATTGCTTTTTATAAAATGTAATTATGTGATATACCAGGTTATCAAACTCTGGAGGTAAATCAGAGTATATAAAAACATAGTTTACTGTGGGTGGCTCTGTTGGAGTCTTGGAGAATAATTGTTCTGTCCGGGACAAATTTCTGTCTGTTTCAGTACATGGATTAATCAATATTTCCCAAGGATGAAACATTTTTAAGAATACTTTGTAATAGCTTTGCTGAATAAAAATATTTCAACTGTTATCTCAATTGTAAGAGGGAATTGATCATTACTACTTTCATAATTAAAGTTAGAAAAATTCCATATTGTTTCAGTTTATACCAACTCCGTTGACTCTTATAATGAGCCATAAATGACTGTGTTAGTCAGTGAAATTCTTCTGAAAATAAAGGCCCATTCAGGCTGTACAGTTAAAATTTCAAAGTAATGGAAAATTAAAAACCTTACTGATTGTGAGTGTTGTTTAAATCTCAAAACAAAAAGTTCATTTACTCATTGTCTTCTGTATTCTGTTATAAGAGGCTAAAATAAATTTTAAATTGTTTCACCATATAATAATTTTGTCTTTATCAGTTTATATCCTTAAAACACATGTGCAACCATTTCACTAAAACAATTATGCAGCAGAAGGCTAACCACTTGGATTTTCTTCAGAACAATGAAATAGCATTAAAGGTAAATGGAAATACCTTATGGAGGAATCCCTTGTGACATAGGGCTTGACTCCTCAGTTGCATAAAGCATCTGTAATTTAGCTGGAAGGAATGATGTTGGTCACCAAGACAACATTGGCTATTTAAGGAGAAGGTAATCACCGGCCTCTAGGTTCACAACCATCCAGACTTAGTTTTTTCCTCTGATTATGCTTTGAATTACTCTTCTCTGCTTTTTTAATGTCTCATTAGCAATGGTGGTAGCAAGACCTTGTAACATGCATTTTACCAAACACAGAAAAAATCTGAAGGTTGGACTTAGAGTCTCAGTCTGGAGCTACAGTAATTTGCAACCACCTTTGATGAAGATGGAATCTGCAATGCCTGTACTTTCTGAGGATGCTTCCAATACTAATAATCCTTCTGTATTTAGGGGTTGGTCTTGTTTTTGATATTTGTTTATTTGATACTTATTGTCTGTCTCTAGGAAAAGTTAAGGAAGTAGTACCTTTTACTTCAAAAAGTCCTTTCTAGTGAGTTCCAGGGAGGGAAACTTCACTTGTTGCAACAATGTGTGTAATGAAACACAGTTTTTACAGAATGGGCTCTGTATCTATCACTTTTATTTTCTATTTTAAAGGAACAAATCTATTAATGTAATGGATCGGAGATTTTAATAGTAAAAGATTACTATAGAATAGAAGTGCTGACAGTACAATAAAACTTATTAGAAAAATAGAAGCTCGTGTTTGTTAACCAGAACTTATTAGGGTCTTAATTATAATGAAATTACAATCAGAGGTTGCTAATGAAGTTAAGGGACTTAGATTTCAATAAGTGTACTTGAAAAAGTGGCTTTTTCACCACATTGGATTTACTCAAAAAACGAAAAAGAACATGGATGTTACCAATAATCACTATGGGGATAGCAGATGTTTCTATAGCTGTATTACTTATGTGACCTGTAGTTACTATGTAGTCTGTTAGGTTTACTTCTTCCTTTTTTTTTTCTTTGTTGGTTTTGGAGGGTTGTTGTTTTTGGGGATTTTTGTTTTGTTTTTCTCTAAAATGAAGGTTAAGGCTTGTGGCTTTGCAGATACCTTATGTTAAGAAGACAAAGGTTCTTGTGCCTGAAATCTTGACTCTCAATGTCCTGAACTTCAGGCTTAGGCTGCTTTCCATTTCAAACAAAATTGGGGTAAAGGTACAGTACTTTTGCAGAATCTTTTCACTGAGAAACCTCTTTACTAAGAAACCTTTTTGCTACCAAGTTGAACATTTGGGGATTTGAAGTGAGTAGGGTCAGAAGGCGAGGACATCCAAAGCTCGTTTATTCATCATTGCAGAGTCAGCAGGGAGTGACTTTTTCCCCTGTCCCTTTTAAAGAAAAAGGCATTATAGCAAAGCATGAGGTTGAGAGAGCAAAAGGAAGCAAGAGATCTGTTTCACTGCACAGTTTTCGCAGCTTGATTTAGGATGGTCCCTTCAGCCTTGGTTGCAAATATCCTGAGTAAATATTGTTTGGAAGGACAGATTACAGCTGGTCATATCTTAATTGTTTGCTTAGGATGAATATGTATCATGTAACATTTTGTTAAATCTCTGTGTTATGAAAATGGTAATGATCAATCACTCAACCTCTCCTAGAGGCCAGATGTTAAGAAGCAGCCTTTATTTTCACTTCTGTACTCATATGTGTTAGTATATCTTTTTATGGTTATATCTACACATATAGAGATTTAAATTTATGCAAGTGTGAATTACCAGATATATCTTCCATGGACTTTTGGATTACCAAGTCAGCTGTCCTGAATCTATGTGTTTAAATGCAGACTGAAGACTTCTGAATAAGGAAAAAGTAGTTTAGTTAATTTAAGAAATCTTTGGGTTTTGCTGAAAGTAAATGTTCTGTTCATAATACAGGTTTTGCAACTTCTCCATCTCAGTGTTCCCAGCCTTTTCATAACCTGGCTTCACACTTGAGAAAATTGACAGTAATTCATTTTTCTTTGGGAAATTGGTAAATCCTTCCTTCCAAATCAGAAGCTTTAAAGGAGCATTTTTAAGCTGGTTTCAGAAATTAACTCTATCATGCAATGCGCTGCCTTGAAAAAAGGACCTTGTCAGCAGTCCTTGAAGGTGGAAAGAAGATAAAGTGACTTAGATGATGCTTGGGAAATGGCCTTTAGAGTGTGTGATGGTTTGACACTGAAGGAGCTGTGAGAGCTTGTGGCTGTCAGGTTGTGTTTTGAGGGGAAAAAAAAAAAAGCAACTGTGTATCCTGAGTTGTTTTGGAATACACCAGAAGTTAAGAAGAAATGTGTGCTGATGCTCAAGGGACTGATGCCTGACTGGATGTTTTGAAGATGGGAAAAGTAGACAGTTGAGATTTGAGTGGTGTGATTGTCAGCAAAGCTGGATACAACTGAAGTTGTGTTCAGATTAGGGAATTACTCTGGGGAGGTAATGCACAGGGAACGGCCACAGTCACGAAGGCCTATCCACCTGGAATGATGCCAGAGTCTCTAAGGGACAGTATCCCAGGATGATACTGTCATACAACACTGAATTGAAAGATCCTCTGATGAGTGCAGAGACTGAAAAGAATTGACTTGCTGGCAAAACTTGTGTAAGAAGTGGTAATAAAATACAAAGCTTTTGTTTCTAGCCCTGATCAAATATAGCACCAGTCCTTACACCTTTGGTATAAGGCAACAAAACCCACAAACTCCTACCAGGATACCCTTTATGTCTGAAGAAAGAAGAATTTGTTATTATTCAAGAATACTCCTAGTGGTTAATCTTTCCATTTGCTTTGGGCAGGTGTGTTGAAAGTGTTCAGAAATGTAGCACTGTCTAGGTAAGTCCCAGTACAGATTGGTTAGGAGGTGGGGGTGCTGGCAGAGCTGTCAACATGTGTGCTAATGTACCTTATCAGCTGGTGCTGTGACACAGCATATGCCTGGGGTCAGTGCTGCTGTGACATGGATGTATTGCATGTCATAGGAGATAGCCGTGTGCAGGGTGGAAAGACCAGAATTTATGAGGAAAGTGTAGCTTTTTATTTAAGCTCCAAACCAGAAACAAATGGTAAATTTATAGACAGATAAAGGGGAGGATGGAAGTAAGTGGATAATGCTCTTGGGCTCCTGGTGTGACTCTTGGGGATGGTGCTGTGCGGGGCCAGGAGTTGGACTTGGTGATCTTTGTGGATCAATTTCAACTCAGCTTTTTCTGAGATTCTGTGAAATAAGTGCATAAGTGCTACTACCTAAAGCTTGTTCTGCCTTTTAAGAATGCTGCTATTTTCCTGTCCAGGTCAATATTCATTCTGCTACATTAATGATCCTGGAAGCGAGTTAGTTCATTTTTGTTGTTGATTGTGGTGTAACATTATCTAATCACCATTAATGAATGTGATAATGGGTCAGTAATTTTTCTGTTGCATATCTTGTTCAAGTTGCTTAGGTGTTGTGGGAAAAATTAAACTGACTCAGTAAGGACAATCTAGGCAATTAAGACCCTATTTTTATTAAATTTTAGGACTCACACTGTGTGCGAGGTTTCCAACTGAATCAGTAATCCTGTATACCCTCTACATCCTCTACTGTGCAGCAGAGATGAGTTTTGATATACACTAAGTTTATTTGGTTTTTGTTGTAGATATGACAGTGATGGTTGGTGTCCACCTTTGCCAGTTCAGACCTACCTGCATCAGGGCATGGAAGATGAGCTTGAGGAAGATGATGATCGTGTCCCCACACCTCCTGTCCGGGGAGTAGCTTCATCTCCTGCCATCTCCTTTGGGCAGCAGTCAACTGCAACTCTCACGCCTTCCCCACGAGAGGAGATGCAGCCAATGCTTCAAGCTCACCTTGATGAGTTAACAAGGGCTTACCAGTTTGATATAGCAAAGCAGACATGGTAAATGTTTGAAGGGGTCACCTGTGATCAGGGAAATGAAATACTAATATTAATCATAACAACAACAGTACCACATTTCTTTTTGACAAAAATAATGACTGTGTTCAACAGCATTTCAATCGTGTTTCCAGAGAAGTAAAATAGAAGAAGAAATAGCAAAACTCTACCCACAGCTGGAAGGCCTTACACATCTATATATGCTTTTTAAATCATAATACTTGGTAATATGCTAAATTTTGTCTGAAAACATATAAAAGCAATATTCCTCCAAAATTTTGCATGTGTTCAGCTAAGTAGTTAATACCCACCTCGTGACAGCTTTTATACAGTTGTGAGTGCTCTCTTTTCAGGCTAGCAGAAGACAGGAATTTTTTTAGGATTTTCAAAAATAATAAGATTCTAAATTGCTGGCTAAAAATCATTATAGTTTCTTGAAATAGCAATGTGGCAACTTTTTCACTGTGTCACATGAGAATGAATTATTTGCATCTCTGTGCTTTGAGCTACCATGAGAATTTCTGATCCGTAGGGAAAACCCAGAAACAGCAGAAAGCAAGTCGTTAGTATTTATAGGATGGATCTAGTGTTTCAGAGTGCTTTATGCCTCTTTAAAGGAAGAGCAAGCAAATACCACAGTAACATTTCCCCTGCAAAACAAACAGAAGCAATCTCTTCAGGGACTGAGAAAGAACTTGTCAGCTGCACCAGGCTGGGGACGTGGTGAAGGTCAGTTGGTTCCTGGATGTTCCCTGAGCAGCAGTTGTCCTTTTACAACTCCTCTACCCAGACAAAGCCCGCGACTCTCGGCGGAGCGGAGCAAAGCTAGTTACCGAATGGCACGCTGCCAGCATAGGAGCAGCCTTTCTTTCTTCCCTGCTAAATAAAGCCACAAAGTTATTCAGCTTGAGCTCCCATAAATACACCAGGCAGGTAGGCAGGCAGGCGGTGCCAAACCAAAGCCAGCTGTTTTCCCTGGGCACCGTGGAAGCCTCGGGGCTTGTCTGCAATCTGCACTCGATAACAGGGTACCCCTGTCCCGCTGCAGCGCCGCGCCGCCAAGCTCCGATCCCAGCCTGCCTGTGGGACCGACCCAAATCCCAGGCAGCAGCCAGACCTGGCCTCTTGAAGGCACTGCCTTCTGAGCCAGATGCACACCCTGCCAGCACAGGCAGTGGCTGCTGCATTGTGCAGCTGGTACCCTTCCTATGCCCTCCAAACCCCCAAACCAGCGCAGGAGCAGATAACGGAGCAGCACACCACACCAAAGCCTCGTGCAGCTGGCAGGAAAGGTCTTGCTCCCTTTTTGGGGGAATGAAAATTGATTGGGAAGTTTCATAATGTGCTTAGGATTATACAGATTTTAATGTCGCTCTTGTTGAAGTCAAAGTAATTGAGCCTGAAACTCTAAAAAAAAATAACCAAAACAAAACAAGGACATAACCTTTTTTTCATGCCTTTTGAGTATTGGGCTAAAAAAATGCTGAGGGTGATTTTTACATACAAGTGATTTTTATTACATAGATTTTTTAAATATATTTTTGTTCTTTGGCTGGATATGTATCATGCTAGTCAAAGTTAGTAGAAAGTCTTCCATTGTTTTGACTGGGAAGGAATATTTTTTCAGTCTTCTTTTCACAAAGTTCACCTGTCCATTGTAGAGACAGGGGAAAACTAAACAGCAAAATGAGACCTGTCAGGGTACTATGGGAGTAGCAACTGAGAAATACAGACATCAGCCAACTAGGAATTTAAGAAAGAGCCCATTAGAGATTACTGGAAAAGTACATAATCATTATGGCCTTGATCCAGCAAATCACTTAAGTATATGCTTAACTGTGAGTACATGAGAAATTGACTTCAATTGTTCTATCACAAGCTGAACATTAAACATATACTTAAGCATTTTGCTTGATTAGGAGCTAATCACACTGTTTATTGAGGGTTAGTTAGACGGTAGTGCCCTTTAGTGCCCCAGTGTTTTGAACACAGTGTAGAACACTAAAAACCTGGTGTCCAGGCAGAAAAGTGTTCAATAACTGTTAATCAGAAGGAGGTTGTATGTCAGAAAGGAAGCACTTGTTCTGGAAATTAGATTCAGAATAAGCAATAAGTTAAAACCTACACTGAGGTGAGAAAGTTACCAGTGGTACATAATATTTACCACGATATTCTCATATCTGATAGATTTACATGATGAAACTAAAAAGAAAGGCTTATTGAATAAAGATAATTCATTCATGCAGACAATAATTCAGCACAAGGTTTCCACTGAAAATGTATTATAACTGGGAGCCAAACAGGTGACAATTGTAATTTCTTCAGTTTTCCTGATGTCCAAGCAAGAGACCAGCAGAATCCTGGATCCCATCCAGAGTGCTGCCGATTCAAATCAGGTCATGGCACCTCATGTGGAGCCACCCAAGGATTCCCACGTGCCTAAGTTAGCAATTTCAAGTGTGGTACATGCTCTTGTGCCAAGGCCAGTCCTGCCTGGGTCCCCTGGCACAGCTTGCTGTGTACCTGTTGTGCTGTGGGGAATGCTGAAACTGATGGTTTTCTTTTCTCTCAGAGACCAGGCACATCAAACTCTGAATCCCATCCTTGCCTATGGCCATTTAGTTATCCTGTGGGTGCTTTTTTGTCTTAGTTTTTTTTTTGCTTTATGTAATTGCTGCATGGAGTAATTTCACACATGCATGCCCTAATACTGCTGCAATTAAATCAATTAAACTTCTTGGAATAAAGCAAAATGAAAAGGCCTCGCTGATGATGCATTCATTGGACTTGAAAATTTCTTCTGTCCTACTGGCCATTTCTCCCTCTTTAGGGTGACTTTTGCTTCAGGCTCTGCATCTGTTTGAGCGTAAGGAGTGAGATTTAACTTTGGTTCAATGTGTGATTTGCAAGGGGGAATATTGGGTGAGACACTTATGTGCTAGGCTGGGATTCAGAATTGTGCTTTTCCGTGGGTTTCCTACCTGATATATGCAGCCTCTGTGTCTATCACTCTTTGTCTGTGAGATGACACTCCTCACCTTCCCCATCCTAGAGGATTTTATCTTGATTCTTTTTATTTTAGACTGGAAAGCGTGCAAGCACCCTGGTATTAGAAGCTGCAGTGAATAATTGAACTGAATTTTCTTGAGTTTGGCCTGGCCAAGCACATTTTGTAAATATACTTAAGGACTTGTTGAAAGGCTTCTGTTTTATTGACCATGGGCTGAAAAGTCTCATCCATTCTGATAACTTCTCCTGTTTGTGTAGGCACATCCAAAGCAATACACAACCTCCTCAGGCTCCAGTTCCTCCCCTAGGATACGTATCTGGAAACCTCATTTCAGATTTGGAAACAGATGTTCCAGATGACGACGACGATGAGGATGACATTGAAGAAGAAACTGTAGAACTCAGCAGGCCACTAAGAGGTCTAGAGCATACTCCAGGCTCCAGTATGGACAATCTAGACAGCTCTGTAACAGGTAACCAAGCACACTGGCACCAGCTTGTTACTACCAGTTAAATACATCACCATTTGGACACTTTCTAAGTGAAAATTTATTCCACTCAATTTCTGTAGCATTTAAAATGTTAATGCTAAACACTAAAGTTAAAGAAGGATTTGGAAATACTTTGCTTTGCTAAAAAATGATAAGGAAATTCATGAATTTCAAAAAGCTTTAAAGACTTGAAAGAAAATTCAGTTATATCCTAGCTTTCATGAAAGGTTCATTCTAGTAGAGAAGCAAGGCAGTTACATAAAAAGGAGGGGGAAGACCTCAGCTTAGCAATATATATTTCATAACTCAGGAGCAGCATAAAAATGTTATCTTAAAACACTTTTAGATATTCTGCTGGGCATATGCTTTCTGAGATGAACACAAGGAAGTTAAGGACTTCAGAGTAAGTGTAGCTAGATTGGCACAACATTTATTTCTAGAGTAAATACAACATTTATGTAGGAAAATGTGTATTTTGAACATCCTTTGCATTGCTGAATTTAGCAATTGTTCCCTTTTAGAAAATCTGTTTAATAGTTCTGACCCTCCTTCCCTTGCTTCTTCCTGTCCTTTGCATGCCTTGGAAAGCTGCATCATCATCAAAGGGCACCTAGAAAGGGGACCTGCTATAATAAATTAATGCATGGAATCTGAATGAATTGAAGTGCTGTTGGTGAAATTTAGGCAGTGAAAGGCACTGTTTTTTAAAACCATGGATTTTATGTGGACATTATGCACTTTTTGGAAGCATGAGTGTAATTCTCTTTAGGTTGAACCAGGGCCTCTGTATAATGTTCTGTGTCCATAGTGTGAAGGTGTGCTGGAGACCCAAATACCCCCAGTGCCACAGTGTTAGTGGGTGCTGTTTCAGTTTTTGATTTCAGCAGACAAACACTCATTGCTGGTTTTAGCTTAAGGTAGACTTGTTCAGAACGACTTCCTACTATAGCACCACTGAGTTCCTTCTTTGTCTGGACCTCTGAAATTCCAAGGCTTTTGCATTCATGCTAAAGATTGCTGTTCTGAAAACACTGCAGGAATATGACACTGATGGAGCATCAATACTATAATTTTCCTCCTTTCCCTTCTTTAATGAAATAGTGTGTAGCTTAATCCCACTTTCCATGTTTTCCTTCACCCTAGAGCCAAACTGCTTGCCAATCTAATTAAGATTTAAGAATTGTATCCCTGCTGCTGCAATTTGAAATCGAGATGCAACTGAAGGACATAGAGTTAAAGTTTAAATCTCTGAATTGAGAAGGTTAACTTTTTAGTGCATGCAAATGTTAACTCACTTTGCTTGAATTTCTAGATTAATCTCCTTCAGGCTATAATTCTGCATATTTTTGCATATCTCACTAATGGCTCAGAAGCATTTCTGTTAGGAATTCACTAAGAGTTTTAGACTGGTAGAACAGCAATAAATAAATTTAAAAAAAAACAGGTTGGTATACATTTTTCTTTTGGTAGATATTAATATTGCAATGCTTATGTATCTGTAAATCAGAAAATGAATGTTTCCACATTTGCATCTTCACCTTATAGTTTGGATCACCCTCCCTAGAGCAAATAAGGGATAGTTGTATTCCTGCTCCAATTTGAAACTTTAGTGCTTATTAAAATTTATACTTTTACTAATAACTTTCAAAATCTTGTTTACTTTTTGGAGTGTTAAATGTCTAATTGCTCGATTGTTAAAGGCTTCTTGATATTTTGGAAGAAATTGGTCAGAACTTCATAATGTAGAGTATACTTATGGTGATCTAAATATGCTTCCACTCACCACCACTAACTTCATGTGGCCTCATCCAGCTGAAATTTAAGGTTTTTCTTTTGCTGTTTCTTTTACTTGTTTAATTACTAGCTGGATCATTCCTTGCCTCTGGTTCACTGCATGGCAAGGTGTGTGCTGGCGCTGCAGGAAGGGAATGTGCAGCTGGAGGGGAAGGAAAATTACAGACTGCCCCTATAGCACTTAGCCAACATTTAGACTGACTTAATTAAGGGATGATAGCCTTACAGGAGTACACCCAGAGTGTTAGCATAAAGGGTCTGTTAGATGGCAAAATCTCCAGATAACAAAACTACTTCTGTTTTCCTCAGTTACTATATGGGTAAAACCTTGATTTTAGATAAGTTTGTATTGGGCTTGTTTTTTGCTTTTTTGGATTTTGTTTCTAATGGTGGAAAGGAATTGCCTATTATACTTGGGCAAGATTTGGTTTTCAAAAGATAATTTTAATTTTTCTTTGTATGTTTCTCTTAACTCTTCCAGGCTGTGTTTAATGATGTTAAGGAGTGTATAGCAAATTGCTTCAGTTGTTCCCAAGCTGTTTCTCATTCTTCAGTTTGATTGCTTTTAAAATACTGTAGAACAACTAAATTGTTCTTTCATGTGCTGAGAATCTATAAGCTACTTCTTTTCACAGAGCCTTTGGTGACTTCAGCCAGAATTTTTCTAGGAATTTATGGATCACGTTTTCACTTCTCTAAACTTATTTGAAAATGGAGGCAGATGAGAACAGCTGACCCAGATGAAGCAGTAATTCTGTTCATTCTGAAGTGCCCTGGCAGTTCAGTGTTTGTGAGAAATCTAAATTGACATCCCCTGGTCCTGACTTGCTCCAAACAGAGCTGCTGTGGCGGGAGCAGGGCGAGGTTCCTCACCCTGTAGTGTTAACAATGCCTCAAAGGTGCCCACTCTTGGACTGAAATGGGGCTTTGTTCTTCATGGCTGAGCTAAGAACAAGGATTTCCTGCAGTGCCAAGTGTGGGATTCTCTGAGGGGAAGCGCTGGCTCACTGTTTGTGAGCCAAAGCACAAACCGCTGAATCCCTCTGACACCACGGCGCTGCTCCTTTAAACTGTTTAAAAGTCAAGTTGTCTTCCAGGCCCTTGAGTTTAGTCACAGCTAACTGAAGATGCAGACAAGGATTTAATCTGCACTATTAAGCTTTTCTCTTTGCAGGTGGCAGAGACATAATGTTGACATGTATAATAAAGTGAAAAGAAAGGAGGAGTGCACAGGAGCTGTATCTTAACATTCTCCAGATATCACAAAGAGAATTCAAGGAGGGAGGTTTAAATTTGCACATTTGTGGGATGTAATATGAAACTAAAGCCAGGGTTTTGCTTCATTCCCAGTATGGTTTGTTAGGATATTGAGTCACTGAATCTGTTTAAAAAGAATAGAGAGAAAGAACCAAAAACATTGGTAAAATTTTTCCTCACTTAACTTTTAATTAATAATTATTTAGGATCATTTTTTGCTTTCAGAAACACAATGAAATATGTTTTTTCTTTCTCTTATGTTTAATGTTTGCCTTTATAATGAATTGCTGTGCAGACTTATGGCATGAATGGCCACAAAGAGTCTGTTGCATTATTCTACTTTAATACACTTAATTAATTGCATATGATGGTTTTAGAAGAAATTAATTTGCTTCTCACTGAAGTCAAGGTTCAAGACCAAGCCTAGGTTTTTTCAGGTCAAAGTGTTATGCTTTGGGGGTTTTCTTTGCTCTGTCCTTATCTTCTCCTCCTGCAGCACCAGTGAAGCTGGTTGTGAGAGCTGTGTACTTTCAGTCTTGGTGCATTTTAACTGAGGGAAGAGTTTGACTCATTGACTAGCATGGAAATTAGAGCAAAATCTCTTCTATCTGACTAATATAAACTGATATAAACAGAGAGTTATTCTTGCAAACAGTGCCTCAACAAATGGGTTACATTTTTTTAAAAATATAATTATATAGATCTAAATCATAAAAATCTCTTCAGATTGTATGGCTCAGCAAGAAGAATATCCCTTATTTGACATGTTTTTGTCTTGATTAAAAGATTCACTGATCACTGTCTGTATGGAAAAAGTTGATCATTCACTGTGTCTGAGCACAAATGGAATAATTCTTGAAAACTGCACAATATCATTTTCATGAGCCATATTTTACCATGGCTCAGCTCAATATTTGTATTGATTTGCTTAGGGATACCTATTGCAAAAGATTCTGGTTTATAAGCAGTTAGACAGATTGCATTTAATAGGAAGAATGTGCTTCATGGATTAAATATGTGCTCAGAAAATAGGAAACTGCTACTTTTTGTATCTCATAAAAATGGTAATGCAACAATTAGCAGGGTCATATTATAAAGCACAGACTTTAGCTTAATGGATCTAGGGATATGCATTCATCAGCAACGATAGATTTAGCATAAAATGACATGTAAATGAATTGATGACTGATCATAAATTAATTTTAGTGCTGAAGAAGTAATAGAGACACAGCAAGTTGCCACTTTATCACAGTATTTTACTGCTCAGCAACATTTGAGCAACTACTTAATGTTCTATGCGCATTTCTTTTCTAACAGCTTGAATAAATTTGAGATTTTTTTTGTGCCTTTCAGCAATATGGAAACAAAAAAAAATCTCATAGGATGGAATGCAAACAGAAATAAATTTGGCTAAGTGACATAAATTCATTTTTCATTAGATGTTTATGAAGGTCATTAATTATCATTGGACCTGTGAAGTGCTGAATATCTACGTGTGATTTTTCCTCCTTTTTTTTAGTGTTTTCTACCCAAAAATCAAACATTTAAAACTTAGAAGTTTATTCCAGGTGTATACATTTAAATATATGGGCATTTATGGTGGAGGAAAGTAAAAAACAAAGTCTAGTTTTTGGAAGTTTGATCATATTTGGATTCTGCATTCAAACACTTCTATTATTCTTCCTTGTTTTGATGGTACAATGACTATTGTCCCTTCTATTCCATCACGTCCACCAAAATCAGTGGCCATTCTTGTTGTGTAATTATGACAGTGTTCAGACATATCCAAGAGAAGATAATATCTCCTGTACAAAGGCTGAAAGAATTCTGTAACTGATTTCAGCTGAAGTAGCATCAGTCCCCAAGAATGTCACCCACACTTCAGAAACCTAAGCAGCCTATCCCTATTCCATTAAAAAGCTGCAGAGGAG